ATGGCGGTCTGTAATAAAATCGAGACTGGACCAGATAATTCAGCGATTGACATCGTGAGCATCGATCCACGCAATTGGGATACGATGACATGAGTGGTAGACCATCCCTCACGACCCCCAGCGAAGACAGGTATCTACGTGTCATACACGTTAGGAACAACTTCGTCAGTGACATCATCGTCAGCAACTTCCCTTGTACACCCTGTCAGTCTAAGAACGGTATATCGAGGACACAACGTCAGCATCGACGTCAAAGATTGAGGCGGGCAGGGACCGTCAGCCAATTAAAGAACAGAAACTGGGAACGGGCAATCTTTTCTGACTTAAGTCGATTCCAGCTTTTCAGCCTTGATGTCAGACTTCGTGCTCACTGTCGACGGGGAGAGCGAACGACACGTTGTTGCATCCATGAGGTCGTGCCATTCAGCGGCGGTAGCGTCATGGTTTTCGAGCGTTATCTGTGGACAGCAGAAAACGGATCTCGGATCAACGCCAATCTCACGACACAACGCTACGTGGATGAGGTAATTCGTTCAGGTTTTCATCCGTAGCTGCAACAAAACCCTTGGACCATATTCCACCAAGACAACAACCGATCACACACAGAGCGAATCACCATGAACTCTCTCAACGCCAACAATATGAAGGTTTTGCCCTGACCAGAACAAATCCCCTAACAAATCTCCAATATCATTTGGAACGTAAAATTAGAGCAGGACAGGTTCCTGTGATGACTGGGTAAGGTTTCTTGCAAACACTTGTAGAAAAAGGAATGGCGCCGCATTCCACCTCAAGTCATTCGACGTCTGACGTACTCCACTCGCCGTCATGTGAGAGCCTGTATTGATGCCCCTGGTGGGAACACACGATGTATCATCCAAAACTGGCTCCCACAGAAGATATCGCTTGGATGAGATCAAGCGATTTATTACTTGCCCGTGAAGAGATCACCCGTTTAATAAACATGCAGCTGTATTACACATTGCGTGCTTATGTACTCTCGGAACACGTTTTACGAACAAATATTGAAGCTCTCGACATCCCTTGGCTTATTCAACGACATTGCGGGTGGAGATGATAGATCACTGAGAGGAGGTTATGCACACTCGATGACCCCAGCAACCTTTTTGCTAGGCAGACGTCACATGGCATTGTTTCGCCGATGGATCTTGCAACAAAATTCCACAAATTACGTCATCGGGTATTGTGACGTGATTGTAAACTTTGAGTTTCAAGGCCCCGTTCCACAAGGCGATCGTTCTGTAGCGCAATGACAGTCGTTGGTCTAAGTTAAAGTATGTGAGTTGCGATAACCTTAGCGCTACGATAGTTTTGTGGAACGGACGCCTGAATTCTGAAGGTAGACCGTTGTATGGTATTAAATTCAAACGTTTCAACTTTTGACGTGTTTGAAGTATTATTATGTTGAACTCAATTGGATTATGCCGTGGGTCGTGTAGGTGTCAGCCTATTCACACTCAACAGCATAATTCTAAAAAACGTTATAAATGGCAAGTAATAAATAAAATACTAAACTCGCTCCCGTGTAATACAAATTTTATGAAACTCGTGAATAGTTGTCGTATCTGACTCGCTTTCGCTCGTCAGATACCACAACTATTCACTCGTTTCATAAAATTGGTATTACACGGGAACTCGTTTAGTATTCTATATATCTACACTGTAGAGCGATATCTACATTGTAGATATCGCTGCAATGAAATTGCATCACAATGCTTTGCAGACCATTGTGACGTCACAATCAAAAGACATCACCAATGGCTCTGCTCCTGAAGCTGTTAGCAGTACGTTTTACAATGAAGACACTGCTTATTACTGTCTACACACTGAAAAAATTGGAAGAATGATGTTGGATGATAAATAAAATCTCACCCTCGTGTCTTTTGATATCAAATATATCAACACTCGTTGATATCTTTGATATCAAAAGACACGAGGGTGAGATTCTCTTTATTGACAAACATTGTGATCATGTTGTCACCATGACTGACCTTAAACGGTTTACTAAATACATTGTTGAATGATCGAATACCGGACAACTTAAACCACCCTCATATGTGCCCCCATATACGCTTTATTTTATCAACTTACCCTTCAATAATTTCTCATGTTTATGCAAAATAATGTATTTGGCAATTACAACTGTCTTTTCTCTTCTCTCAACGATCGTGATATCTCGCTTCGTATGGTTTCTTTTGTCAGTGGGGCGATTGGGTAGCCTAATGGTTAAAGTGTTCGCTCGTCACGCCGAAGACCTGGGTTCGATTCCCCACATCGGTACAATGTGTGAAGTCCATTTCTGGTGTTCGACGCCGTGACAATGCCTGACTATTGCTAAAAGCGGCGTAAAACAATACTCACTGTCTCTTTAACCAGTGAGTGTACATGAGCATGCTCCTTCTTACCGAAGTGCCACACTTGTGCAAGCAACTAATGAAACAGTTCCAAGATCGACCATGTATACCTTACGCGATATGGCCCTCAAAAAGAACCTTTTACAAACTACATTCGCTGTTTAAAGTGTTAAGTAAGTGAGTGAGCATTGTTTCCCGTTGTTTTGAGCAACATTTCAACCATAACTCGACATGACAGCAGGTTGGGACGATACTCAGGCGAATCGTCACAACATCTGGCATACTGTTGAAAGCTGGGGCGGTGGGGTATATTGTAGCCTTGTGGTTAAATCGTTTGATCATCACATGGAGTTTTGTTTTGTTTGTTGTTTAACGCCGCACTCAGTAATATTCCAGTTATATGACGGCATTTTGTAAATATTCGAATCTGGATCAGACAATCCAGAAATTGACACCCTGAGCATCGATCTACGCTATTGGGATACGATGACATGGATCAACCAAGTCAGCGACCTAACCGCCCGGTCCAGTAAGTCGACTCTTACGACAAGCATAGTTGCCTGTAACAGCAAGTATGGGCTGCTGAAGAACTATTTTCTACCTGGATCTTCACGGGTCTCCCCCACATGGGTACAATGAGTGAAGCGCATTTGTGGTGTTCACCACCGTGATATTGCTAAAAAGCGGCGTAGCATACTCATGCACTCATTCTTGAAAGTTGCATTAAATCCTATTCCACTCACTTACTACAACCTTAAAACGTTACTTTTCTGAATTTATGACCATGGTATATACTATGTATTCCTGCACTTACCTTACAGTTATTTTCAACGTTCCTCACAAGGCAAGAAATCACGTTGAAGTATATATTCTTCATGGGTAGTCTTCATTAAATAGTAGAAACATTTAATGATAAGTGTATCAGCTCATGTTTATCCCGATATATGGGAATTTTTCACCAGTTTTCTCAGATAATTGGCATTCCCGTCTGCTTCCATTCCTGGAGACTTGAATTAACGCGCATGAAAAGGTCGTGCAACGGAAATGAGCACCGATTGGTTTAACCCTTAACTTTGACATCACGTGACAATGCTGGCGAACACCTGCACCCATCTCATTCAAATCAGGTCTTAGTTCTCAGTTCTCGCTTAACGGTTTCCGCTTAGGAAAACTGTAATTACATACTAATCTAAGGCTTTATGGGATAAGCAATGATAATCGGATATATACATATATACAATTGTACAATTAATCACAAAATGGATTCAAATTATTTTGTTTTATTATGAAATTACTTTGAAATAAAAATTAAAATTAAGCGGGAAAATAAGTATTTTCTATTTGACTTTGACCCTGGATATTCCTGGAGTAAGCAAGATAACTCCATCAACCTTCTCATAACAGTTTTTAATTTCAGCATATTCCACTGGTTCGTTTTAACTAACAGTGGACTTTAGGATTCATGTACTGTCTATCATTCCATGCAGAAGTATCTGTTACACTGTTATTCTGCCTCATAGCATTCACTCACCTGATGAAGGAGTAAGCATATACTCAGTAACGTTGTGTTTCGTCATAATAAAGAAGTTGACATCCATAAATTCTCTGAATATCTAAAAATATTTTCTACTATCTAAATAATGTTTCAAACGAAATGTCAAAGGCTATTTAAAGTATTTTAGTCATCAAATAAGTCAAAATTTCAAATGTTTTTAAACATTAAGTTGCAGTACCACTGTATAATCGAAATATAGGATGAAAAGGATACAGATAATTTTCCTGCTAGACTATCTTTAAGTTTTAAATTCTGTCTCCTCAAAAGAACACATATATTTACATTTCTAAGATGCTTGGCTAAAAGATCAAAGGCGCCGGGAGTTTTAACTATAATAGTTCAGGGCAATACTATAATGTATTACACTACACATGGGGGTAGAGCAAACTTTATTTCTTAATTAAATATATTCAGTACTCTATGTATGTCTCTAAAGTTTGAAATACAATTATCTTTCGGATTTCGAAATTATGAAAAACAACAACATTCAGACTAATGAAATAGAACATCTTTGAATGGGGAATAAGTTGCTCAAATAAGCGGAGAGTGATATATATAAAATATATTGTTTTATGGTCTCTGATGTAAATCACAAATGCATGTCGCAGCATGTCGCATACATTATTTCGCTGCAAAATGCTGCTGCTGACTTGGTTGGTGCACGTCATCGCATCCCAATTGCGTGGATCGATGCTCATGATGTCAATCCCTGAATGGTCTGGTCCAGACTCGATTATTTACAGACCGCCGTCATATAGCTGGAATATTGCTGAGTGCGGCGTCAAACAACAAACAAACAAATGCTACAGGGGTAAGGATATTGTAGGAGCGCTTCAATCAATTTTGTTCTTTGCAACGGCGATTATTGTAATGTTACCATTTTCAAAATCAAACTTTACTTCAATACAAACATGTGTCTCTAAAATGTCTATTAAGATATTGTAAACGTTTGAAAGCAATGAATTCATAGTGTCATTACTCATTAGTAACATACACTGAATTGGATGGTGATTTCAAGCTATTTTCCGGATTTTAACCTGTCAAGGGCAGATCACTCTAGTCTACGATCCCCCTTGCTCCCTGTTTTTTTATTATTTCCTTCTTCCATATTCTATAGTGGTAGTTTCACAAGATTGCTGTAGTTGTCTGGTTCAGCGCATATGAGCATGCAAGTGATCTGAGTTGAAAGATAAATATTGCCCTCATCAAATCATCGAATGTCATCGCATGATTCGATCACTACTGGCATAGTAACTATTTTATATTTTTGAAATTAGTCTGCTAATGAAATGAGGCCGTATGTCATGATCCAATGTTAGCAGGAAATATTGCTTGTGAGATTACACAATATGTCCTTCAAGATATTGCTTTTATAATCACACATTGGGAGAGTAGTGCACTTTAGCGGGCGCACTTTTTCATATCCAATTAGCGCTGTGGGGGCTCGAATGCGTTAATTAATTAATTAATGGACCACGGGCGCCATCACATGTAATCAGTGCATGTTTAACAGGTCATTAGAATCCCCATCAACATGCATGCGTTATTCAGTAAGCAATGAATTGCGCATGCTCTCCCATTCATCTTTTCTTGAAACCACACCCCCCATTGTTTATGTCAACATGACCGACCAATGGGATTGACCGGATTAATGCTTGAAAAGGTAAGAATGTATGGCTAACCCTTGCCCAAAGCAAGCTAACCCTAAGGACCGAGAACAGGTGTTTGATCGTAAAGATGTGTAAGTTTCCCTAAGACCAAGAACGGGTGTTGGATCGTAAAGATATGTAAGTTTCCCTAAGACCGAAAATGGGCGTTTGATCGTGAAGCGAGAGTCACCAGAGCGTGAGGCACGGTAACGGTATATCGAGACAGCGGTGGCACTATAGCGCGGTAATTGAGCGGATGGTAGAGCTCGGCTGCACCCGGTAAACTGCATTGTTGCCCACATTGCTCTATGGACATGCTCTTTAGGGTGAAGTTTGCATGTTGAAATCTTACCCATGGTTCTATTTTTCATTACCTTTTCCTGAAGAACATATCAGTGCAGTGGTATGAGAGTTAGAATACTGTACTTTAAATGAGGATGTGATTTGAGTTACATCAAAGCATAGTAAGGCCGACATTTTACATTAATTGTTTTATGGATCTGCCCAACGTAAAAATCAGGAAAGTAGAAGAAAAATAAAATTCTCAATTGAGATTTTGTTTAATTACCGCCAAATCTGAAACCCCATTTAACAATGTCTCGACACAAGATATTTAACTCACACCGACAGCAAGTTTACATAATGGGGGCTGCCTCCATGATCTAGTGGTAGAGCGTCCTCCCGGAGAGCGGAAGGTCCAGGGTTCGATCCCCAGCAGCGTCAAACCAAAAGATGTTGAAAGTTGGTACTTACTGTTACCCTGTCTGGCGCTTGGCATTAAGGGGCTAAAACAAGGACTGGTTGGCTCAGAGTCAGTATAATGTGTCTGAGTGGGGTGTTCATGTTAAACTGCGGCATGGTATCTCAGTGAGCTAGCACTATAAATAGGCATCAGTCCAGACTAGTACAAGCAGCCACACAAACACACACACGTACGTGCACATCGCTATATAAGTGCAATAATCTTGGACGCGACGTTAAGCCCAATTTCACTTCACCTTACAAAATGGGTCATCATGACGCTGAATTTAAGTTTTTATTTTTAATACTTACCAACCATATGTTTTGACAAAAGACCAAAACAATAATTGAAAGTCCTCTTCTTTCTTTCTTTCATTCTTTGACCACTGAGAAGCAAAATCTGTTTATCATTTAACTAAAGCATTTATCCTTGACATAAGCTTATGACATAAAAACATGTATGTCATACCCCAATGACATAAGTATGCAAATTAGATAACCGGAAGTGGGACTTTTTTTGCCGGTGCACGTGAGTAGGTGTTTACAAACAACATGGATACCTTTGATGTTGGAGACATTATTTCAATTATTCAGCAAAAGTCTGTTCAAGTATTTTGTTTAAAATAATCCGAGGAACTTTTTTTCTCAGCGAAGGAATATGTCATAAAGGAGTTAAGAGGTTGTTTATTTTGGTTTACACGGCTATGGAAAACATGTATCACTACGCACGATCTATACGTAAGATTTCGACAAGTTGCTGATGTTAATGTTTAATGCAATTATTCCTTAATTGGGAAGCAAAAATGTGAAAATGATAAATAGAATTCATCACGAGTGTTTTTTAATATGGGAAATATCAACCTCGTCCCGTTAATCGGTATTTGCCTCGCCAAAGGCTCGGCAAATACTGATTAACTAAGACTCGGTTGATATTTCCCATATTAAAAAACACTCGTGATGAATCCTCTATAAAGCAACTAATAAGAAGAAGGCCTGACACTGCAACATGATGCTACTTATAGCATGCTATAACATCATGAGGAAAGGTCACCACTGTTACACTCGGGCAGTATTGCTCAACAGATTAAACACTTGACCTATTTACCATTTTAGCGAAATAGATTGAGGCTTTTCTTTCAACCTGCCGAAGACACGTGTTCAATTCCCCACATGGGTACAAGGTGTTGTTTCCCCTGCCATGATATTGATCGAATATTGTAAAAAGCAGCGTAAAAACATCACTCACTCACTCACTCACTCACGCTTTCAACCTTGGGTTTTGAATTTAGAGAACAGAGGTAAATATAATATTTTGCTAGTGATTCACAAAGATATCGAACAGTAACAAAAAGTAACTTTGCCACAAATGTTTCAGTTGAATGAAAACAGTGGATTTGCGAAGTTATGCGCCTCCATTATTGCAAGATATCTTCTCAAACGTCAGCATAGTCATCAAATTAACAAAACCTGTGCAGTGTTTTGATGATGCAGATAGATGAAGAGTCACAATTACAGTGAATGTACAGTAGTCAGGATTATATCCCAAGCACAATCACATTACACCAGTTCTCAAGGATCTTCACTCCCTACCGATACAAGAAAGATTCACCTACAAAACCCTGTTTAACAACCTACCACTGCATAGCTGGCATATCACCAGGTTATATGTGCGACTCCCTGACCATCTACCAACCTACCAGATCATTAAGATCTCAGAATGAACATACATGTATATTAATGGTCCCAACAGTCAAGGGCTGGGACGAGTCCAAATTTACTACCCGAGTGCCCACACCCCTATTACCCGACGCTACCCGGGTACCCGCTGTTGGTGTCAAGAGATAGGTACAAAATGTCCGATTGGGAATAGTTTGACAGTAGCCTCTTTTAACAGTATTACAGTTATATCACGGCGTGTCAGCTTAATGTGGGAGGAAAGCCCGAATGGATGCAGGTCTCAGACGTTTATCACTTCGGTGAAACCCACGAGCATGAGTATGGTGCTGACAAACCTAGAAACATAATCAGGGCGAACCGGGATTCGAACCCACAATCATAGGTTTCTGGCGTGCCCAAGGGACGCAACTCTGCACAGCAAATCACGTTGCCTTAGATGACTGGGCCACCCGTAGTGCTTTTATGAAGTCTTACAACACTAAGCCTTGTACCAACCATTGGATTGGATCAGGGCTCAGAACCTGATCCCCCCCTCCTGTTGCGACCAGCATTGTTTGCTGGATAACTTGTTTGATAGGCATTACTTAGAAGTTGGCGGATGACAAGATAGACACAATTTTATGGATAACAACTTCTTTAATACTGTAAAAAGCGACGTTTCGGTATAGATCCTTATGCCGTTGTCAAGCAAGACTGTTGTCAAGCAAGCAAGCTCTGGGGAGCTGTCAGTCTTGCTTGACAACGGTATAAGGATCTATACCGAAACGTCGCTTTTTACAGTATTAAAGAAGTTGTTATCCATAAAATTGTGTCTATCTTATTGTTTGCTGGAGACCTATTATAAACCAGGATCCCTATGGGGCGACCAGCTTGGGTTGCTGGGGACCTATTCTAGCCCGGAATCCCCACGGGACTTGTCAGCATAGGTTGCTGGGGACCTATTCCTTCTGGCCGACCAGCTTGTGTTGCTAGGGACCTATTATAATGCGAGATACCTCAGGAGGGGGGGGGACCAGCTTGGGTAGCTGGGGACTTATTCTAACCCTTGATCCCTACGAGGGAGCAGATTGTGTTGCTGGGGACCTATTATAACCAAGGATCTCTACAGGGGGGAACCAGCATGGGTTATTAGGGACTTATCCCTATGGGGAGGGGGGTGACCAGCTTGGGTTGCTGGGGAGCCGTACTAACCCAGAATCCCTACAGGGTGACCAGCTTGGATTGCTGGGGAGCCGTACTAACCCAGAATCCCTACAAGGGAACCACCTTGGTTGCTCGGGAGCCGTACTTACCCAGAATCCCTACAGGGTGACCAGCTTGGGTTGCTGGGGACCTGTACTAACCCGGGATCCCCACGGGGCGACCAGCTTGAGTTGCTGGGGAGCCGTACTAACCCGGGATCCCCACGGGGCGACCAGCTTGAGTTGCTGGGGAGCCGTACTAATCCCGGATCCCTACAGGGTGACCAGCTTGGGTTGCTAGGAGCCTTTACTGCCCCGGGCTCCCTACGGGGCGACCAGCATGGGAAGGAAAATCTATACCAAACTAAAACTCATGAGTGAGAAAATATGTACTTAGTTATGTTAAGAGGGATGGACCTGGTTATTGTGCTTCTAAAACGAACACATGGTGGCCAATGGACACAGGGTATTGATCATATTGGAATGGAGAAATAATACTCTGGATAATCAAGGATGTCAGTTATCATGGTGTAAATGCAATACTGTTCAAACTCTCAGAATGTACAGGTGTTATAAAAATTATTTTACAAAGATTCTTCATTGTATGCACAAATTTGACACCAAACCCTGTTGCCATGGTTACATGCCACGTTAACACTGCTTCTGTATTCCTTTTTTGCAGAGACGTTCTAAAAGTGAACTGAAGGCAGTTTGAACATGGAGGATGAAGAGGAGGACATACACTCGTTGCTGCATTTGCGAAAACATCGGACAGCATTTGTCAGGATGGTATCCTGGGAAATTGGGAATAAGGCTCAAAGACTGCCAAAAAGGAAAAAGTCTGAAGTAGTCATGGGAAAGACTGGAAATACAGACTCTGGAACTGATTCCGATAGTGTTAAACTGGATGAATCAGAAACAAGTGACATTGATGCAGAAGTTGAATGTGACAGTGAGAGCAACGAGGGAGAATATTCTTCAGCAGAGGAAACAACTGACACTGTCATAAACGAATTAGTTGCAAGCAATAAAACCAAAGAAGAGATTAGAATGGAAGTATTATTGGATGAATCTGACCTGCAAGTGCATGAACCTGAGACTCAGCATTACAGGGCTCCCAACAAGAGGCAGAAACGCAAGAAGAGGGCACGCAGACGTGAAGACATGGAGTCAGCCATTCCCTTCAGGAATGTTGAAATCCTTGATTTTGATTGTTTGAACTTGGACAGTGAGGTGGAGGTGACTGTTCAAAGGAAGATACCAAGCTTGGTGGAGATATGTATGAAGACATTGTGGGAGTTTAACTTGGTGAGAACTGGAAGTACAAATGTTTCACAAAAACCTGATATTCCTGCAGGGATGCAGCATGAATTGTTTATGTGGAGATCGAGCCAGCACACGGCAACTGCCCAACTGAAGTGGCTTTACCGGTTGCTGGGCCAGGGAGAGGAATCGTTACAGACTAATTCATATTACATGTTAGAGGAGGTCACAGACGAGGAAGGTGCTGGTTTGAGGCAGTCAGTGTTACAAAGGGCAACTCGCACTGTGTGGAACTGTAAAGTCTTGGGTTATGAGGAGTCTCAGAACTTTATGGAGTACAGTGGGACAGAGGCGTCTGATTGGCTGCCCTATAGCTACATGAACAATACAGAAATAGGCCCATTATTGAATCATGTCTCATATTGGTGGAAGTTCCCTACTTCCTTGTTGTCAGGTAAAAGCCAATGCAGGAATCCTCATGCACACCTTCCTTGTTTGTCCAGGGTGTTATATCTCCATTCTATTATGATAATATATTTGACCAATTCCTTACCATTGCTTTCTTTTGAAACCGACCGGTGAAGATCTGGGGTAGAAAAGGTCTCCAGCAACCCATGCTTGAAGTGAATGGCAACTATGCTTGTTGTAAGAGGCGACTAACGAGTGGGGTTGGTCAGGCTCGCTGACTTGGTTGATGCTTGTCATCATATCCCAATTGCGTGGATAGATGCTCATGATGTCAATCACTGGATTGTTTGGTCCAGACTCGATTATTTACAGACCGCCGTCAGAAAGCTGGAATATTGCTGAGTGCGGCGTTAAACAACAAACAAACAAACAAATCTTTTGAAACCAACTGGCACAGACACGGTGCTGACAGACCCGAGGACATAATCAGGGTGAACCTTGGATTGGATTATTCAACCAGCAGAACACATTACATCCTTCGTTATCCTGTGTATTTCTATACTATTGCCCTAAACTCATTTCCTGCCCTAGCTTCAGCTCATGTTTGTATGGGAACTGATGTAACACTCTCCATCACACTTATCATCATCAGGGGCGGTCAGGTAGCCTAGTGGTTAAAGTGTTCGCTCGTCACGCTGAAAACCCGGGTTCGATTTCCTGATAAGTTTGTAATGATGTCATTGTTCCTCTGATGGTGTCAGTCATTGTTCCCTTGACAGTGTCAGTCATTGGTCCTCTGATGGCGTCAGTCATTGTTCCTCTGATGGTGTCAGTCATTGTTCCCTTGACAGTGTCAGTCATTGTTCCCTTGACAGTGTCAGTCATTGTTCCTCTAAAGGTGTCCGTCATTGTTCCTCTGATGGTGTCAGTCATTGTTCCTCTGATGGTGTCAGTCATTGTCCTCTGATGGTGACAGTCATTATTCCTCTGATGGTGTCAGTCATTGCTCCTCTGATGGTGTCGGTCATTGTTCCTCGGATGGTGTCAGTCATTGTTCTTCTGATGGTGTCAGTCATTGTCCTCTGATGGTGTCAGTCATTGTTCCTCTGATGGTGTCAGTCATTGTCCTCTGATGGTGACAGTCATTGTTCCTCTAAAGGTGTCAGTCATTGTCCTCTAAAGGTGTCCGTCATTTTTCCTCTGATGGTGTCAGTCATTGTTCCTCTGATGGTGTCAGTCATTGTCCTCTGATGGTGACAGTCATTATTCCTCGGATGGTGTCAGTCATTGCTCCTTTAAAGGTGTCAGTCATTGTTCCTCTAAAGGTGTCAGTCATTGTCCTCCGATGGTGACAGTCATTGTTCCTCTGATGGTGTCAGTCATTGTTCCTCTGATGGTGTCAGTCATTGTCCTCCGATGGTGACAGTCATTGTTCTTCTGATTGTGTCAGTCATTGTTCTTCTGATGGTGTCAGTCATTGTTCCTCTGATGGTGTCAGTCATTGTTCCTCTGATGGTGTCAGTCATTGTCCTCCAATGGTGACAGTCATTGTTCCTCTGATGGTGTCAGTCATTGTTCCTCTGATCGTGTCAGTCATTGTCCTCTGATGGTGTCAGTCATTGTTCCTCGGATGGTGTCAGTCATTGTTCCTCTGATGGTGTCAGTTATTTTTCCTCTGATGGTGTCAGTCATTGTTCCTCTGATGGTGTCAGTCATTGTTCCTCTGATGGTGTCAGTCATTGTCCTCCGATGGTGACAGTCATTGTTCCTCTGATGGTGTCAGTCATTGTTCCTCTGATGGTGTCAGTCATTGTCCTCCGCTGGTGACAGTCATTGTTCTTCTGATCGTGTCAGTCATTGTCCTCTGATGTTGTCAGTCATTGTTCCTCTGATGGTGTCAGTCATTGTTCTTCTGATGGTGTCAGTCATTGTCTTCTGATGGTGTCCGTCATTGTTCCTCTGATGGTGTCAGTCATTGTTCCTCTGATGGTGTCAGTCATTGTCCTCCGCTGGTGACAGTCATGTTCTTCTGATCGTGTCAGTCATTGTCCTCTGATGGTGTCAGTCATTGTTCCTCTAAAGGTGTCAGTCATTGTCCTCTAAAGGTGTCCGTCATTGTTCCTCTGATGGTGTCAGTCATTGTTCCTCTGATGGTGTCAGTCATTGTCCTCTGATGGTGACAGTCATTATTCCTCGGATGGTGTCAGTCATTGCTCCTTTAAAGGTGTCAGTCATTGTTCCTCTAAAGGTGTCAGTCATTGTCCTCCGATGGTGACAGTCATTATTCCTCGGATGGTGTCAGTCATTGCTCCTTTAAAGGTGTCAGTCATTGTTCCTCTAAAGGTGTCAGTCATTGTCCTCCGATGGTGACAGTCATTGTTCTTCTGATGGTGTCAGTCATTGTTCCTCTGATGGTGTCAGTCATTGTTCCTCTGATGGTGTCAGTCATTGTCCTCCAATGGTGACAGTCATTGTTCCTCTGATGGTGTCAGTCATTGTTCCTCTGATCGTGTCAGTCATTGTCCTCCGATGGTGACAGTCATTGTTCTTCTGATGGTGTCAGTCATTGTTCCTCTGATGGTGTCAGTCATTGTTCCTCTGATGGTGTCAGTCATTGTCCTCCAATGGTGACAGTCATTGTTCCTCTGATGGTGTCAGTCATTGTTCCTCTGATCGTGTCAGTCATTGTCCTCTGATGGTGTCAGTCATTGTTCCTCGGATGGTGTCCGTCATTGTTCCTCTGATGGTGTCAGTTATTTTTCCTCTGATGGTGTCAGTCATTGTTCCTCTGATGGTGTCAGTCATTGTTCCTCTGATGGTGTCAGTCATTGTCCTCCGATGGTGACAGTCATTGTTCCTCTGATGGTGTCAGTCATTGTTCCTCTGATGGTGTCAGTCATTGTCCTCCGCTGGTGACAGTCATTGTTCTTCTGATCGTGTCAGTCATTGTCCTCTGATGTTGTCAGTCATTGTTCCTCGGATGGTGTCAGTCATTGTTCTTCTGATGGTGTCAGTCATTGTCTTCTGATGGTGTCAGTCATTGTTCCTCTGATGGTGTCAGTTATGTTTCCTCTGATTGTGTCAGTCATTGTTCCTCTGATGGTGTCAGTCATTGTTCCTCTGATGGTGTCAGTCATTGTCCTCCGATGGTGACAGTCATGTTCTTCTGATCGTGTCAGTCATTGTCCTCTGATGGTGTCAGTCATTGTTCCTCTGATGGTGTCAGTCATTGTTCTTCTGATGGTGTCAGTCATTGTCTTCTGATGGTGTCAGTCATTGTTCCTCTGATGGTGTCAGTCATTGTCCTCTGATGGTGACAGTCATTGTTCCTCTAAAGGTGTCAGTCATTGTCCTCTGATGGTGTCGGTCATTAGTTCCTCTGATTGTAAATCATTGCTCTTCTGATGTGGTGTTAACTTAAATGCTGTCGATGTTGATAATGATGATAATATTGTTACAGCTGTTGTTTTCCAGGTTTATCAAGTGTGTTAGATCTAATGCTACCTCAGCAAAACACTGCCATGACCAAGTCTTGCAAGTCTACCAAATCTACCAATTATGCGAAGTCTATCATATCGCCAATGTCAACAAGAAATAAGAGTATGGCCACACCCCTCAGTCTCATTGGGAAATCACTAAGCCAAAGGTAAATCTACATGCATAAGCACAACAGAATGTATCACAAATGTCAAACCACTTGTGATTATATTTTATGATGAAGTCATAATACTTTTTGGTGAAATTTTGATAATTGTATTTTTGTCATTTATACTGAAACAGAATAGGTTGTGTGCCTCGGCTCCACACAGGACCTGATAATTCACCCTTAGAAATGAAGAGTTCTCTTTGCATTTATGATCAACATATATACCGTATTCGACCTAATACGCACCCAGGGCGCTCTCAAAATTAGAAATAGGGGGCTCTTATTAGAATGGTATTTTGGTGAGAAAAAAAACAGAGTTGAAAGATAAATCCCGTGGTTTATGCTGACAGCCTGAAAATGTCTGTATAGGACAGACATATTTTTCCAGAATTTAATTGCCCATAATTAAGGGTGCATATAACACATGAGTGCGTATTATGCACGAATAAATAAGTCTTGTGTACATTGATCAATTGGAAAGGGTGCTAATTGGGATTGTTCACTAGCCAATATATTAACAAATATCGCTGTGGGCGCTTATTAGAGCGGGGCGCTTATTACGTCGAATACGGTATGTATCATTGATGCATCTGTATTTATGTTTGCGTAACCTAGTGGTTTCTTCACTCCGTATATTGATACCTGACAAGGGTACAAAGAACAACATTAATGTCTCCCGCCTTGATATTACTGGAATATTGCTGGTATCGCTAGGATATTGCTGGAATATTGCTAGAATATTGCTAGGATAGTGCTGTATTTTTGCTAGAATATTGCTAGGATATGGCTGTTATGTTGCTTACATATTGCTGAAATATTGCTGGGATAGTGCTGACATATTGCTGAAATATTGCTGGGATAGTGCTGACATATTGCTGAAATATTTCTGGGATAGTGCTGACATATTGCTGAAATATTTCTGGAATATTGCTAGTATATTGCTCAAATATTGCTGGAATGGCCCTGGAATATTGCTAGAAGCCCTCCTTCCTAATTCCATCTTTGTTCAATGTTGTGTGGCAGGTACCCCCTGGTGGTGAAGTATGTGTTCCAGGAGGCTGTTCCCTACACACTGTGGGCCAGAGGGGATGTCGACCTGGCCCTGCAGCACTTCCACAGCCTGGCTAAACAGGCCTCAGGTAGTGGTCTCTGACACAGTTCACAACACTGCTCCTCATTGGAGGAACTTGCAAGTACTTACTTCAGAATACACAATGCCATTTAGAAAGTGGTCAAATGTAATGAATGTTATATTTGGGATAACACTTTCTTAGTAAAGTACAGATTCTCGTACATTGTTGGGTTGAGTCCCGTCCGGGATTCGAACCCACACTTGCCAGAGTGAGGCACCTAATCGCCAGCACACAAAGTCAGCGATCTAACCCACTCAGCCACCGAGGCTTCCACAAAAATGAAAGTCTGACAACTGGTAGTCTAGATCACGTACTTTGAGTACCCCTCTGACAAGTGTAAATTGGCACGGCTCCCATGGCCGAAAGCTATGAATACTAATCCCGGACGGGACTCAACCCAAAAAAGTACGAGAATCTGTACTTTACTAAGAAAGTGTAAGGGCATTTTGTATTCATAGCTTTCATAACATTCATTATACTTACTTCAGAGTTTCATAAACATGTTCCGTTTCAAAGAAAATGTGAAACAAGCTTAATTACATCATTTAAAACTGTTTCACAGTACTATATGCTATACTGCTCAGGGCCCTGTTCTACAAAGTGACCGTATCACTATGATTATAATAAACCAAAGTGACCCGGGATGATCTTGGGTGGAATAGGTTTTCAGCAACCCATGCTTTCCATAAATGGCAACTATGCTTGTCGCAAGATGCGACAACGGGATCGGGTGGTCAAGATTGCTGACTTGGTTGATGCACTTCATCATATCCCAATTGCGTGGATCGATGCTCATGATGTCAATCACTGGATTGACTGGTTCAGACTCACTTATTTAGAGACTGCTGTCATATACCTGGAATATTGCTGAGTGCGGTGTTAAACATCAAACAAACAAACAAACAAACAAACAAACAAACATAAGTCAGTGTTAAAGTAATGGAGTATTGTCTTAGATCTAAGGTCCCTTTGTGGGGTCCACTGGTTCGCCCCGATTATGTTTCTAGGTTTGTCAGCGCCATACCCGTGCTCGTGGGTTTCACCGAAGTGGTAAACATCTGAGACCTGCATCACTTCGGGCTTTCCTCCCACATTAAGCTGACACGACGCGATATAACTGGAATAATGTTAACAGCGGCGTTAAACCCAACTCACCCACTCACACACTTTGTGGGGTCCCTAAATACTATATACTAATATTTTATCAATCTTTTTCTGTAACATGTTTAATCAAAGCAGTTTAAACAGTCCTCATTATAGGGACAAAAAATGTTTTCTTGTATATCCTATAGTTAATGTTTGACATCAACAGGATATCGGCGAGCGATGTATCTCAGCGAGGGGGCTCGACTGTGTGCATTTGTTGGGGAGACGGAGATGGCGCGAGACTTCTATAAGGAGTCTGCAGATGCTGTGATTGGTAGAATAAAGGGAGGTAACCAGGACGAGCAGGAGGTCATCACTCAGAGGTCTCTCCTGATGACAAACTTGGGTGACCAAGGGTGGGTGATATTATGTACAGTGTTAATCTAGATGTCATCTTGTGATCATAGATTCCATAGTTACTTATATAAACCCTATAAGAAGCTTAGATTGTCATGCTATTTTGGCATGGCAGGGTTTTCCTTGCTGTAATTACTTGTGCAAAGTGTTGTAAACAAGCAGCTGTGGTCTTGAAGACTTCCATACTTCCCCTGTGCACAGCGATTGCCTCCCTTGGGGTTTCTTGGCCAGAATAGATTCTCTCTACCCAAATTAATGTATCCCTTTTTGATTCTTGGTCAGAATAGATTCTCAGATTCCACAGTCTTGTCCGAAGAACTGACAGCAATTTGGTCATGTGGTCACGATGCCATGTTATTTGTCTAGTCCAGGCTCAATTAATTACAGGCTGCCATGATTTAGCTGTGATATTGTAATATGTCTTCTCTCTCTCACTCACTCACTCACTCACTCACTCACTCACTCACTCACTCACTCACTCACTCACTCACTCACTCACTCACTCACTCACTCACTCACTCACTCACTCACTCACTCACTCTCCAGATGGAGCTCCTGTTATAATGTTGGAGATATTATGTATGTGGTGGAAATATCATGCGTGTGTTGGCGATATCATGCATGATTTGGTAATATCATTCATGATACATGTCCATGTCTCCAGGCCGATGACAGAAGAGAAGGCGGAGATGGCATCAGCATCATGGAGAGCGACGCTGCAACACACCACCACCGCACCGCATACAACTTCTCTCCGAGCAGTCGAATCTCACTTCTGCTTTCACTCAGGAACAAACAGAAGACGAGGTACATGTCTGAGATTACCCTACATTTCAATGTTTCAATGTTCCATTTCAAATGCCTTACAGGAACTCCACACACTTACAAATAGATCTGTCAAAACATTTGTGACACATCTCTCATTGCAAAGTTGTGTCCATAGTCCGAGCAGTCGAATCTCGAATCTCACTTCTGCTTTCACTCAGGAACAAACAGAAGACGAGGTACATGTCTGAGATTACCCTACATTTCAATGTTTCAATGTTCCATTTCAAATGCCTTACAGGAACTCCACACACTTACAAATAGATCTGTCAAAACATTTGTGACACATCTCTCATTGCAAAGTTGTGTCCATAGTCGTGCCATGGATCCACCCAGATTTGATTTTTCAGAAATAATTTGACATACGGAAGAGATGAAAGTCAGCAGAGCACATTAAGCTAACAGCCAGGGAGTAATGATTTACTGTCCAAAGCAGTGTTAAAACCAACCCACTTTCTCACTTCGTCACACTGATGGACAGCAATGTCTCCTCGTGGAACCACACCTTGCAAAATGTGGACTCGCAGTTGTCGGGTGTCCTTTGCATGACCTACCTTATTTGGAATATTTAATTTCTTTTGGACTTCCTGGAGGTTGAGGTCATGCCATTGTCCATGCTCTGAAATGTGATACAAACTGTAGGCCTAATAGCCTGATTGTATTCATTGGAACAGGGGCGTTGGGGTAGCCTTGTGGTTAAAGTGGTCTTCACGCTGAAGCCCAAGGTTCAATTCCCCAAATGGGTAAAATGTGTGAAGCCCATTTCTGGTGTCCCTCACTGTGGTATTACTGGAATATTGCTGAAAACAGCATAAATCCTTGGTCACTCATTGGAAAAAATTGTCATGTAAATTTGATATGCGTGATTCAATTTAATTATTTGCAAACAACCATACATTTATCCAGCTGATCGGACTTGTAGTGCATTCTATTTGCAACCATTTTCGGTTTTATGCATGACGATGTTTTGCATCTGGTAAAACCTTGTTGATAGTTTAAATAAAGATTTTATTTTCATGCAGATGTCAGTACATTGAGTCATCTGAAGGAAGGCCTGTGTTGGATCAAGTCTCTCCAGGGCTGCTGTCCCATGCTCACACTCCATCAGGCCGTGGTGGAGGCGTGGCTGGGATGGCCGACAGATGCTGACACCACGCTGAGACACATTGGGTAACTCACTCACTCACTCACTCACTCACTCACTCACTCACTCACTCACTCACTCACTCCATCAGGCTGTGGTGGAGGCATGGCTGGGATGGGCGACAGATGCTGACACCACACTGACACATTGGGTAACTCACTCACTCACTCACTCACTCACTCACTCACTCACTCACTCACTCACTCACTCACTCCATCAGGCTGTGGTTGAGGCGTGGCTGGGATGGGCGACAGATGCTGACACCACACTGACACACATTGGGTAACTCACTCACTCACTCACTCACTCACTCCATCAGGCTGTGGTGGAGGCGTGGCTGGGATGGGCGACAGATGCTGGCACCACACTGAGACACATTGGGTAACTCACTCACTCACACACTCACTCACTCACTAACTCACTCCATCAGGCTGTGGTGGAGGCGTGGCTGGGATGGGCGACAGATGCTGACACCACACTGAGACACATTGGGTAACTCACTCACTCACTCACTCACTCACTCACTCACTCACTCACTCCATCAGGCTGTGGTGGAGGCGTGGCTGGGATGGGCGACAGATGCTGACACCACACTGAGACACATTGGGTAACTCACTCACTCACTCACTCACTCACTCACTCACTCACTCACTCACTCACTCACTCCATCAGGCTGTGTTGGAGGCGTGGCTGGGATGGGCGACAGATGCTGACACCACACTGACGCACATTGGGTAACTCACTCACTCTCTCACTCACTCCATCAGGCTGTGGTGGAGGCGTGGCTGGGATGGGCGACAGATGCTGACACCACACTGACACACATTGGGTAACTCACTCACTCACTCACTCACTCACTCACTCACTCACTCACTCACTCACTCACTCACACACTCACTCACTCACTCACACACTCACTCACTCACTCCATCAGGCTGTGGTGGAGGCGTGGCTGGGATGGGCGACAGATGCTGACACCACACTGACACACATTGGGTAACTCACTCACTCACTCACTCACTCACTCACACACTCACTCACTCACTCACACACTCACTCACTCACTCACTCACACACTCACTCACTCACTCACACACTCACTCACTCACTCACTCACTCCATCAGGCTGTGGTGGAGGCGTGGCTGGGATGGGCGACAGATGCTGACACCACACTGACACACATTGGGTAACTCACTCACTCACTCACTCACTCACTCACTCACTCACACACTCACTCACTCACTCACACACTCACTCACTCACTCACTCACTCCATCAGGCTGTGGTGGAGGCGTGGCTGGGATGGGCGACAGATGCTGACACCACACTGACACACATTGGGTAACTCACTCACTCACTCACTCACTCACTCACTCACTCACTCACTCACTCACTCCATCAGGCTGTGGTGGAGGCGTGGCTGGGATGGGCGACAGATGCTGACACCACACTGACACACATTGGGTAACTCACTCACTCACTCACTCACTCACTCACTCACTCACTCACTTACTCAATCACTAACCATCAGCCTGTGGTGTAGGCGTGACAGATGCCGACACCTAACAGAGACACATTGGGTAACTCGCTCACTCACTCACTCACTCACTCACTCAGTGTGTGGTGTAGGCGTGACAGATGCCGACACCACACTGAGACACATTAGGTAACTCACTCAATCACTCAATCACTCAATCACTCACTCACTCACTCACTCAGTCTGTGGTGTAGGCGTGACAGATGCCGACACCACACTGATACACATTAGGTAACTCACTCACTCACTCACTCACTCACTCACTCACTCACTCACTCAGTCTGTGGTGTAGGCGTGACAGCTGCCGACACCACACTGAGACACATTAGGTAACTCACTCACTCACTCACTAACTCACTCACTCAGTCTGTGGTGTAGGCGTGACAGCTGCCGACACCACACTGAGACACATTGGGTAACTCACTCACTCAAACCTTAAGGCAGTGGTGGAGGCTTGGCTGACACCACACTCATTCACTCATTCACTCATTCACTCACTCATTCAATCAATCACTCACTCACTCCATCAGGCTGTGGTGAAGGCAGACTCACTCACTCATTCACTATGTAGAATTCTACATGCTATCATTTTTGTTATAGTTATGGGGTGCTTTCTCTCTGTTTCAGTACACGTGCTATGTGGTTATGTGAGAAACAGGTGAACATCTTTGAGCTGGCGAAGGTCAAGGCTGTTTGTGCCCAGCCCTTGAAAGTGGTGTGGCGGACCCAGCTGGGACACATGCGGCTTGTATCGGGGCAGTATGTATTCCATCTCTTCACTCACTCACAACTAAGGGGATGTGGGTGGCCAGCCAACTGAAGCACTGCAACTTGTGGAACCATGGTTGCATCCCTCAAGTGTGACAGAATCCTATGATGATGGGTTGTAATCCCAGATACTTGGTTTGTCTGCACCAGTCCTGTGTTTTTCACCTAAGTGGTCAACACCTCTGACCTAAATTTCACACTTGGAATAGACAACAAACTGTATTTACCATAATAGGTGCCCCAGGTGCTAAGAAAATAGACAAATCTGACCACTTATTGAAACTCCACACAACAAGTTGAATTTGTTTTCAAGAGATCTAGTGGAAGATGAAACTCTTTTGATAAAAGGGGCGGTCAGGTAGCCTAGTGGTTTAAGCATTTGCTCGTCACGCAAAAGAGTGGGGTTCAATTCCCTACATGGGTACAATGTGTGAAGCCATTTCTGGTGTCCCCTGCCGTGATGTTGCTGGAATATTGCTAAGAGTGGGGTAAAACCATACTCACTTACTCACTTTTGATGATAGTTGCTACCAGTTATACACCCAAGGAAAAGAATTTATGGATGTCAACTTCTGTATTATGGGGAACACAACATTTCGGAGTATATACTGACTCACCCGATCAAGGAGTAAGAATATAATCTGAAAAGTTGTGTTCCTCATAATACAGAAGTTGACATCCATAAATTATCTTCCTTATGTGGTTCACTTCTGAATTCCTTAATTATACACCCCTCCTGCACTCTGTAATATTCTGTAGATAAGTGTTTGTCCTTTTACAGGGACACTTATAAAGATTACTTACTGATTGGTCTGAGAGTTAAATCTGATGCCCTCAAAATGGCCTGTCTTATCTAATATTGTGCCTGTCTTGCACACAGAATATTTGAATTGATTATATTGTACATAACAAATGCCTGAGATTTCAGTTGTACTTTAACTATTAATGACAAGATGTCCAACACAACACCTTCTGTGTAGTGAAGATGTGTTCAATCTTATTAAAATCAGATCTTAGTTCTCGCTGCCGCTAAGCAAAGATCTGAGGATATCCATCATGGATGAACAACCTTTCGGGAATTTTCACTGACCAATGAAATGACTAACAAGAAGTCAACATTAGCCAATCAGAAAGCAGTTTTCTCAAGGTTTACGGCACTATGAATACACACAAGCACTATTTACAAGTAGCAACTTCCATTACAGACTACGCTCTGAAATAATATCAATTCAAAATTTGAAAACTGAACAACAGAAATTTCTAGAATGTCTAACAGATGGCCGATATTGTATGGCAGTATTTCCCATGGGCTATGGAATGTCTATTCTGTTTGAGATGTTTATCCTATTGAAGTGAGAGATTGACGATGACTTTGACGGAATCAGTCATACAGCTGTAACTGTCTTTCGGAATAACCCATATTAACCTGTTCGAGGTTGCATAATAAGAAAACACATTCTGACTGTAACTTTCTTGATTGGTAAGCGATGCTCTGATTGGTCATTCTGACTCGACCAATAATGGGATGTCCTCAGATCCTTGTTTAGCAGTAACGAGATGTGATTTAAAAGAAATCGAGATATGTTACATACAGAAGTATTACCTGATGTTTTCAGACAATGTTATGAAGCTGACTTCATAGCACAGACAAACCTGCATCTACATTTGACAACAGACGGCTTCCTGTCAGGTGACCTCCAGATGGTGCTGCCACCTATCAGGGCCCTTAACCTGGATCCTTACACAGGGTAGGTGATTGGTGTACTCTCAATACAAGCTAACGAAATCTAGACTTGCCAAAGTATTGAAGAACCTGTCGAGAGTTTGGAGATATTTTTGTTTCAGGGTTTGTGTTCGAGACCAGCACAATGCTATACCAGTCAGTTGTTCATATGACAATGTGCACTCTCTGTGTTCCGGTATTCATGTGTTCCAGCCTCTGTCCACTGTTCCCTGGCTATGACAATGAGTAATCTCTGTGTTCCAGTATTTATGTGTTCCAGCCTCTGTCCACTGTTCCCTGGCTATGACAATGAGTAATCTCTTTGTTTCAGTGTCCATGTGTTCCAGCCTCTGTCCACTGTTCCCTGGCTATGACAATGAGTAATCTCTTTGTTTCAGTGTTCATGTGTTCCAGCCTCTGTCCACTGTTCCCTGGCTATGACAATGAGTAATCTCTGTGTTCCAGTATTTATGTGTTCCAGCCTCTGTCCACTGTTCCCTGGCTATGACAATGAGTAATCTCTTTGTTTCAGTGTTCATGTGTTCCAGCCTCTGTCCACTGTTCCCTGGCTATGACAATGAGTACCGTATTTTCTTGAGCATAATGCGCACCCATGTATAATGCGCACCCCTCTAGCGGATTCAGTATTTTTATTAAAAAAAAATTTGCTTATCAAGCACAGAAAACAATTACACCGTACCTCTTCAGCGAAGTCCGGTAAACGAACGGGTGATGAGAAACTTGGTCAGTACAAATTCGAAAATTTGAGATAAAAAATCATCAGACATGTTGATTTACCGTTTAAATTGTATTTTTTGTTCTGCTAGGCATTGTTTTACATCCAGGGATTAAGATTACCTTATGTATTTTCTCGTAAACTAAGCCGGAAAGAGCAATCAGCTGTTCACACGTTTTCTTGGAATCTACCGGTGATTTGGTCAAGACTCACCCAATGATAAAATTTTACAGTATTTTAATGCAAGGACCGGCAAAAATTTTTATCTGAATCTATTTTTTTATCAGGAAATATTCCAATATCTTGTTGCAGCTTTTACTACCCGGTAATCTCTGTGTTCCAGTATTCATGTGTTCCAGCCTCTATCCACTGTTCCCTGGCTATGACATAAGTAATCTCTGTGTTCCAGTATTCATGTGTTCCAGTCTGTGTCCACTGTTCCCTGGCTATGACAATGAGTAATCTCTGTGTTCCAGTATTCATGTGTTCCAGCCTCTGTCCACTGTTCCCTGGCTATGACAATGAGTACTGTATTTTCTTGAGCATAATGCGCACCCATGTATAATGCGCACCCCCCTCTAGCTGATTCAGTATTTTTATAAAAAAAAAATTTGCTTATCAAGCACAGAAAACAATTACACCGTACCTCTTCAGCGAAGTCCGGTAAACGAACGGGTGATGAGAAATATAACTGGAATAATGTTAAAAGCGGCGTTAAACCCAACTCACTCACTCACTCATGTGTTCCAGCCTCTGTCCACTGTTCCCTGGCTATGACATAAGTAATCTCTGTGTTTCAGTGTCCATGTGTTCAAGACACTGTCCACTGTTCCCCAGCCCTGGCACTCCCTCAACTCCTGCAGTGTTCTCTTAGAGGCCTTCAACTACAATGGTATGGTGTTTTGGTTGTAATAACTTGATTTGCAAATCTGCCTGTCACAAGTTTCACAAAAGTAGATTAAAACTGATACTTCTTACCTAATCTGTCTAACTTATTGCAATGATAAAAAAAATCAAACTAGGTCAATATGGGAAAGACTTTAAGCCTTTGACAATCTCATTAAAATCAGATCAAAGTTCTCGCTTAACAGTATTCCACTGAAATGACTAACAAGAAGTCAACATCAGTCAATTAGAAAGCAGCTTTCTCGTGTTTTACGGCACACGTTTCAACCTGGCGACTTCCATTTCTGACTATGCTGGAAAAATATGTTGACACAGTTCTTGATTAAAATTTTGAAAACTGAACAAATGAACATTCTGGAATGTCTAATATATGGTTGAGATTGCATGGCAGTGCTTCCCATGTACTGTGCAACGCCTCCTCCGTTCAAATGTTTATCCCACGGAAGCAAGAGATTGGTGATAATTTTGACGGAATCAGTCGTACATCCGTAATTGTCATTCGGAATACCCTGTGTTAACCATTTTTTGAGGTTGCATGATTAGAAAACACATTCTGACTGTCACTTTCATGATCTGGTAAGCGACTCTTTGATTGTTCAGCTGAAAGGTCGTTCTGACGTGACCCGTAATGGGATGTTCTAAGATCTTTGTTCTGCTATAGGGAGAACTAAGTTGAGATTGACCCTTTGACATTGTTAAACATGTTATTTTTTTTCACCTTTCCAACAGTTCTTTTCAGAAATGACTTTAAAACAATGTTTCTAAAATTTATCTTTATTATTTCATTTCCTTGGTCTTTCCGGGGGCATGGGTGACTCAGTCATCCAAGGCGCCGCAATTTATTGTGCATAGTTGTGTCAACTTGGGCACAGCAGAAGCCTATGATTTTTGGTTCAAATCCTGGTTTGCCCCAATTGTTTCTAAGTTGTCAGCACCATATCTGTGCCTGTGGGTTTCACCAAGTGGTAAACGTCTGAGACCTGCATTACTTTAGGCTTTCCACCTATGTTTAGCTGACATGCCATGATATAGCTGGAATACTGTTAAAAGCAGCTTGAAGCCCAGCTCACTCACTCACTCATGGGGGTCGGTTCACACAACAGAACAGTATGCACTTCCACGCATGCTCGCAAGTTTAGCTGTCATACCATGATATAGCTGGAATACTGTTAAAAGCGGCTCATTCATGGGCGTCAGTTCACACAACCGCACAGGCACGCACTCACGCACGCACTTTGCCAGATTTTACTTGATTACAAATGAACGTATTAACATAAGTTTGGATGCATAAATTTGGTGTTTGCTTGTTTGTTGTTTAACGCCGCACTCAGCAATATTCCAGTCTGGACCAGACAATCCAGTGATTGATATCCTGAGCATCGACCTACACAATTAGGATGCAATAACATGCATCAACCAAGTCTGCGAACCTGACCACCTAATCATGTTAGTCACCGCTTAAGACAAGCATAGTCGCCTTTTACAACAAGCGTGGGTTGCTAAAGACCTATTCTTCCCCGAATCTTCACGGGTTTTTGCACCTTATATTTTCAGGTGGATTTATTGCCCCAACCTTCGTGCAGCTGTATGAAAATGAGAGTGGAGACACAGTACAACTAGCTAGTAAAACTATTGCGATGAATGGCATACCGTTGCACGACTTTACATTCTTCTGGACAGCAGCCAATGGCAACAGGACAAAGTTGAACCTTTTCTCTCGTCTGAGAAAATCTGTTAGAGATGTAAGGAACTTGGACATTAACAGTTGGACAGTTGGTTGGACCTGTCCAGGGTTGAACGCTCACTCACTTACTCACTCACATTTGAAAATAGGATTTCTTTGGAAGATTAAATACTCTGCCTCAAGTGTTGTTGCACAAAATATGCTCTTAAATGCCGAAACATATTGCTATTGAATACTGAAACGTTTGACCTCAAAGATGTCAATACATGCACTTTGCTACTGAAGATTTTCCTCAAAATGTAAATACTGAAACAACTGTTCTTGTTGTAGGAAAAAGTATCTTATTTTGAGTCAACCCGGGATCCTGACATTACACAGTTTGTGGAGGGCAATGAGGAATGGGTGTCAGGCATGACACAATCCATTCACTACTGCTATAACAAGGCATTCACTATGGGCGGCAATGTGAGTACACCTTGTCAACTTCAGGGGCCCATATGGAGGGGGATATGTGAGTACACCTTGCAACTTCAGGGGCCCATATGGAGGGGGATATGTGAGTACACTTTGTCAACATCAGGGGTCCATATGGAGGGGGATATGTGAGTACACCTTGTCGACTTCATGGGCCCATAACGAGGGGGATATGTGAGTACACCTTGTCAACTTCAGGGGCCCATATGGAGGGGGATTTGTGAGTACACCTTGTCAACTTCAGGGGCCCATATGGAGGGGGATATGTGAGTACACCTTGGCAACTTCAGGGGCCCATATGGAGGGGGATATGTGAGTACACTTTGTCAACTTCAGGGGCCCATATGGAGGGGGATATGTGAATACACCTTGTCAACTTCAGGGGCCAATATCGAGGGGGATATATGAGTACACCTTGTCAACTTCAGGGGCCCATATCGAGGGGGATATGTGAGTACACCTTGTCAACTTCAGGGGCCCATATGGAGGGGGATATGTGAGTACACTTTGTCAACTTCAGGGGCCCATATGGAGGGGGATATGTGAGTACACTTTGTCAACTTCAGGGGCCCATATGGAGGGGGATATGTGAGTACACTTTGTCAACTTCAGGGGCCCATATGGAGGGGGATGTATGGAACTGTATTTAATTTTGTTGATCAATGTGACGATAAACCCTTATACTATCAATAAAAACGACAAGTGCACTTACTGTTGCTGCAACGCAGGTCACGAACTAGTCGAGATTTCTTGGATATCATCTGGATACTTATAGGGAAAAATCAATAACAAAGGCAACAATGAGGCCCGGGTAATTGCTGTGGATTAGTGCCCCTTTAAGGACTGTACACCTCGCTATTGACACATGTAACTCATTGTTAGTTTGTTGACTGTTAATTTTTAAGACTTATTGAAATAGTACTCACAACTAACCTTTTATGTTAATTGTGTAATCCCAACTAATCATCTTTTCAGGCACTTTGCTATGTTAAGCATTCTCTGAAGAAAATCAAGAAATTTGAAACTGCATTGAAGAAATCCCGAAACAAGAAAGCCCTTTTGAAACTTGAAGGTGCCAAAACAAAACTACGCGAGATGCAATGTGATAAGTTTGGGTTGGAGATTGTGGAGTACTTTGTGTACGGGGAAACACTCTTCCTGCTGCTGATGTGTGATGAGTGTACTGGCATCAAAGTTGTAAGTGAATTTCTTGTCTTATCAGGGTGGTGGGATAGCATTGTGTTATAAGCATCGGTGGCCCAGGTTTGATTCCTCACATGGGTAAGTTATGTGAAGCTCATTATTCCTCCTAATACCTTACTTCTACTACATCTTTGCCATTAAATTCCAGGAATGGCTGTAATCACACTATAAAATCTTAGATTTTCAACATATCTAATAGTTGTTAGGCAAACCCTATCCTCCGTACTAATGCAACTGCACATGCACGAGGCAGGAAAACGTCACTTCTTTCCTGTTTGGCCAGATATAAAGAATCAAATTTTTGTTAGGAGTACATTTGGGTGACAGGTCGTTGATGCAAGGGGTGCTGTCTCCCTAGAGAGGGGAGATCTGGTTGCCTGTCCCATCCTCCCCTGGATGAAAAGAAGAACATTTGGTTGACAAGAGGGAAGATCTGGTTGCCTGTCCCATCCTTCCCTGGATGAAAAGAAGAACATTTGGTTGACAAGAGGGAAGATCTGGTTGCCTGTCCCATCCTTCCCTGGATGAAAAGAAGAACATTTGGTTGACAAGAGGGAAGATCTGGTTGCCCGTCCCATCCTTCCCTGGATGAAAAGAAGAACATTTGGTTGACAAGAGGGAAGATCTGGTTGCCTGTCCCATCCTTCCCTGGATGAAAAGAAGAACATTTGGGTGACAAGTCGTTGTTGTAAGGGGTGCTGTCTCCCCTAGAGAGGGAAGATCTGGTTGCCTGTCCCATCCTTCCCTGGATGAAAAGAAGTACATTTGGTTGACAAGAGGGAAGATCTGGTTGCCTGTCCCATCCTCCCCTGGATGAAAAGGAGTACATTTGGTTGATAGGTCGTTGATGCAAGGGGTGCTGTCTCCCCTAGAGAGGGGAGATCTGGTTGCCTGTCCCAGGAGCAGGCGTACCTCACTGGACGTCAATCCACCGATGTGCATCTGGGCCTGACGGGGAAGGTGTGCACTCCAGGTGTGAAAGAAGCCTCAGAACCCACACATCCCCTTTAAACCTGAATGTGTTTTTAAAAACTATAACTTCATCCATGTCAGCACTAATCAACAAATGTCTTGCATCCATATCTCAGGAGATGTTGCAATTATAAAATACAGTCTCACAGCATGAAGATACTGGTAGGTCAAAATCAAAAGAGAAATCAAATTATGACAGGGCATTGTCAACCAGGGTTCACCACTCATCTTGTTAGGCCTTGTCTGCAGACTCTTCTGACCAAAAACATGTCATTAGCAAGTGTAGCAGGGCATGGAGTTATCCCACAGATGACATCCTTACCTTGTCAGCTTGCTGACGGGGTTAACCTCTCAGGTCATGTGGACAAGGCGTCCGACCTCGGATCAGACGGTCCGTGGTTCGAATCCCATCACAGGACTCGGTAATTTTATGGCCGCTACATTGGCACCCAACGTGGGGCTGAGCACGTTCATATTAAATTTGAGCAAATTAAGTCTCAGTACCCTACTATGCGGCCCGGGACGTGCCTTCTGTTGACGGGGGAGTATGTAGCAGGGCGTGGAGTCATCCCACAGATGACATCCTTACCTTGTCAGCTTGCTGACAGGGTTAACCTCTTTGGTCATGTGGACAAGGCGTCTGACCTCAGATCAGACGGTCCGTGGTTCAAATCCCATCACGGGACTCGGCCGCTACACAAGTATCACAAGTCTCACAAATCACTGTCTTACTGTAGTAGTGGGCAAGGCTCAGACGATGTGAGGTCAGCTTCATATCACAGTTATGCAGCACGTGCATCGTGCAGGTCAAGCCACAGGTCTCAGTAAGAGAAACACACAGGTCCCATTGAGAGTCCATGGTGCACATGATATCCCGGCACTTGAAACACATAGTGTGGGATCCATAGTAATCTGATGAGTTCCACATTTCTCACAGAGTAATGGAGAGTCCATTTTCAAAAACTCAACACAAACTCAGCTTGTGTGAATGATCTTGCAAGATGATGCTAAACTTTCAGATCATTTATTTAACTGTGCAAAATCTTTTAAGTATATATCAATGAAAGAATAAACCAAAATTGTGACTTTGAAAACTGGGGAAATTTTTTATTTCCTTGTTGCCCCAAGGTCATACAGAAAAGAAGATACATATTCTTGCTTTTCACTGGCGCAGTTTTGATACTACTACCCATGCAACTGCTCATTAGATAACTAAAAGTGAAGAGGACTTCTGATGAAAAATCTAAAGATGTTTACAGTGGGAGAACAGCCAAAACAGAAATTGTTGCTGTGATGTAATAGAGGTAAGGTATTCAAAGGAATTATGTGAGTTTGGATAGTCACAGTCATACCTATATTAATGAGTGAGTGAGTGAGTTGTGTTTCACACCACTTTTAACAGTATTCCAGTTATGTCATGGCATATCAGCTTGATGTGGGAAGAAAGTCTGAAGTGATGCAGGTGTCAGACATATACCACTCTGGTGCAACCCATGAGCACCGGCAGGTATGGTGCTGACAAACCTAGCTGAAACCAGAATTTGAATCCATGATCATAGGTTTCCAGTGTGCCCAAGGGACACAACTCTGCACAGCAAAGTGCCCTGCCTTAGATGGTTGGACTGCCCGTGCGTCCTCATATCTGTATGAAAACCAACTGACTTGAAAATAACATGTGATTGAACTATTGATTGCTATTGCTTCTACAGACTAAAGAAAAATTCTATTTATTTTACAGGTCTTCGATTGCAGCAACCTGGAAGCCTTTATGGATCCCAAGATCCAAGTAATTGTAAAAACAGGTCGAGAATACATACAAGGAGAGACAATCAGCAGACAGAGAAGTAACTGTATTGCCCATGGCCGTGTGATGTGGCTTGTGCTAGAGTCAGCAAGGAATAACAGGTGCCCCTTCAGTTCATCTTCCCGAGACAAGAGAGTTAACTGACTTTAAGTCCAGTTTCCATCCTTGCCGAACTAGGCTGGAATTACTGGGCACAATCCTAGCGCTACCAGTGGCTATTACCAGTTATGTCCCTTTTAAGCCTGTCCTATGGACCAATCAGATTCCACCTCTCTCATCACTTGCGTTTGCTTCACACAAAATGGTGGCGCCGAGTCAGGACGATCCGATCGATAATCAAGATCTATATTGTGATAAAATGGGTCTTACATCGTGAAATGCATCAAATCATGTGAGCACCTTGATTAAAAACATGAAAAGATTTGGAAAATATCTGCTGACAACGAGTTGGTGGTGCACATGCTTTGCAAATCCTGCAATCGACCGAAATCTGCACGACAGTTTACAAACCGGATTTCGATTTCGGTGAGCGATTTTGATTGGACTATGCATAGACTCGTTAGTCCAGCCAAAATGTAACTCCATAATACCAGCCTAGTTTGGCAAGGGTGGAAACTGGACTTTTATAGTCAGTTAACTCGATTGCCTCGGGAAGATGCTTCAGTTAGGTGACAAACAAGACTGAAACACCAGTGTTACCATACGGGTAGAGTCCATTGACAGTAAGTGTTAGCGTAAGCCTATATAGTTCATTAGCAAGGTGTAACATCCTCATGCTGTTGTCCATTGGGGAGTTACCGCAGTTTTAATTGATGGGAACTGTAGGCTGAGGTAGAATGACAAGAAATGCAACACTACATTGTACATATAGTGGAGGGGGCATGGGTAGCCGAGTCATTTAAGGTGCAGCTATTCCTTGTGCAGAGTTGTGTCCCTTGTTGCTTGGTCATTGCTTCGAGGGCGGTCGGGTAGCCTAGTGGTTAAAGCGTTCACTCGTCATGCCAAAGACCCGTTTTCGATTCCCGACATGGGTACAATGTGTGAAGCCCATTTCTGGTGCCACCGCCGTGATATTGCTGGAATATTGCTAAAAGCGGCGTAAAACCATACTCACTCACTCATTGGTTCGAATCCCATTTCGCCCTGTTTATGTTTCTAGGTCTGTAAGTATCATAACTGTGTTTGTGGGTTACACCAAAGTGATAAACATCTGACACCTGCATCACATGGGCTTTCCCCTAAAGTGAAGCTGTTATGCCATGATGTAACTGAAATACTGTTCAAACAGGCATTAAACCCAACTCAGTCACATGTACTGGAGTGAGTGAGTGAGTGAGTTGGGTTTAACGCCGCTTTTAACAGTATTCCAGTTATATCGCGGCGTGTCAGCTTAATGTGGGAGGAAAGCCCGAAGTGATGCAGGTCTTAGACGTTTACCAGTTTGGTGAAACCCAAGAGCACGGGTATGGTGCTGACAAACCTAGAAACATAATCTGGGTGAACCGGGATTCGAACCCACAATCATAGGTTTCTGGCGTGCCCAAGGGATGCAACTCTGCACAGCGAATCGCGGCGCCTTAAACGACTGGGCCACCCGTGCCCCCCACATGTACTGGAAATACTGTGCTAGGCTATAATACGTTTGTGGGACTAGTTCCCAAAGGTCACATGTAAAGAGAGACTGTCCACCACAGGATGTGTTTGTTTGCTGCAGGTTGCTTCATGTGTACGGCCAGGGAGGAAGGCTGCTGACGGAGAAACAGCTGCTGACGGGGGAGGAGATGCAGACACCACTAGTTCACGGCACAATGTTGTATGGCATAGCTCCAGACAGGCACAGGTGACATTGCCACTTTTAACCCACCTGTCTTACTACTGTGGTCATGATATGGCTGAAATATTGCCTATGTGACGTTAAATATTAACTCACTCACTCACTCTTACTACTGTCAGTTAAAGGGGGTGTTCACCATGTACTGCTGTGTGAGTGACATCAGTTGAAGGGGGTGTTCACCATGTACTGCTGTGTGAGTGACATCAGTTAAAGGGGTTGTTCACTGTGTACTGCTGTGTGAGTGACATCAGTTAAAGGGGTTGTTCACCGTGTACTGCTGTGTGAGTGACATCAGTTAAAGGGGCTTGTTCACCATGTACTGCTGTGTGAGTAACATCAGTTAAAGGGGTTGTTCACCATGTACTGCTGTGTGAGTGACATCAGTTAAAGAAGGTTCTTCACCATGTACTGCTGTGTGAGTGACATCAGTTAAAGGGGTTGTTCACCATGTACTGCTGTGTTACTGTCAGTTAAAGAGGGTGTTCACCATGTACTGCTGTGTGAGTGACATCAGTTAAAGGGGGTTGTTCACCATGTACTGCTGTGTGAGTGACATCAGTTAAAGGGGGTTGTTCACCATGTACTGCTGTGTGAGTGACATCAGTTAAAGGGGTTGTTCACCATGTACTGCTGTGTGAGTGACATCAGTTAAAGGGGTTGTTCACCATGTACTGCTGTGTGAGTGACATCAGTTAAAGAAGGTTCTTCACCATGTACTGCTGTGCAGGTGACATCAGTTAAAGGGGTTGTTCACCATGTACTGCTGTGTGAGTGACATCAGTTAAAGAAGGTTCTTCACCATGTACTGCTGTGCAGGTGACATCAGTTAAAGGGGTTGTTCACCATGTACTGCTGTGTTACTGTCAGTTAAAGAGGGTGTTCACCATGTACTGCTGTGTGAGTGACATCAGTTAAAGGGGGTTGTTCACCATGTACTGCTGTGTAGGTGACATCAGTTAAAGGGGTTGTTCACCATGTACTGCTGTGCAGGTGACATCAGTTAAAGGGGTTGTTCACCATGTACTGCTGTGTGAGTGACATCAGTTAAAGGGGGTTGTTCACCATGTACTGCTGTGTGAGTGACATCTGTTAAAGGGGTTGTTCACCATGTACTGCTGTGTGAGTGACATCAGTTAAAGGGGGATGTCCACCATGTACTGCTGTGTGAGTGACATCAGTTAAAGGGGGTTGTTCACCTGTACTGCTGTGTGAGTGACATCAGTTAAAGGGGGTTGTTCACCATGTACTGCTGTGTGAGTGACATCAGTTAAAGGGGGTTGTTCACCATGTACTGCTGTGTGAGTGACATCTGTTAAAGGGGTTGTTCACCATGTACTGCTGTGTGAGTGACATCAGTTAAAGGGGGATGTCCACCATGTACTGCTGTGTGAGTGACATCAGTTAAAGGGGGTTGTTCACCTGCACTGCTGTGTGAGTGACATCAGTTAAAGGGGTGTTCACCATGTACTGCTGTGTGAGTGACATCAGTTAAAGGGGGTTGTCCACCATGTACTGCTGTGTGAGTGACCAGTTAAAGGGGGTGTTCACCATGTACTGCTGTGTGAGTGACATCAGTTAAAGGGGGTTGTTCACCATGTACTGCTGTGTAGGTGACATCAGTTAAAGGGGTTGTTCACCATGTACTGCTGTGCAGGTGACATCAGTTAAAGGGGTTGTTCACCATGTACTGCTGTGTGAGTGACATCAGTTAAAGGGGGTTGTTCACCATGTACTGCTGTGTGAGTGACATCAATTAAAGGGGGTTCTCCACCATGTACTGCTGTGTGAGTGACATCAGTTAAAGGGGGATGTCCACCATGTACTGCTGTGTGAGTGACATCAGTTAAAGGGGGTTGTTCACCATGTACTGCTGTGTGAGTGACATCAGTTAAAGGGGGTTGTTCACCATGTACTGCTGTGTGAGTGACATCTGTTAAAGGGGTTGTTCACCATGTACTGCTGTGTGAGTGACATCAGTTAAAGGGGGATGTCCACCATGTACTGCTGTGTGAGTGACATCAGTTAAAGGGGGTTGTTCACCTGTACTGCTGTGTGAGTGACATCAGTTAAAGGGGTGTTCACCATGTACTGCTGTGTGAGTGACATCAGTTAAAGGGGGTTGTCCACCATGTACTGCTGTGTGAGTGACCAGTTAAAGGGGGTGTTCACCTGTACTGCTGTGTGAGTGACATCAGTTAAAGGGGGTTGTTCACCATGTACTGCTGTGTAGGTGACATCAGTTAAAGGGGTTGTTCACCATGTACTGCTGTGCAGGTGACATCAGTTAAAGGGGTTGTTCACCATGTACTGCTGTGTGAGTGACATCAGTTAAAGGGGGTTGTTCACCATGTACTGCTGTGTGAGTGACATCAATTAAAGGGGGTTCTCCACCATGTACTGCTGTGTGAGTGACATCAGTTAAAGGGGGATGTCCACCATGTACTGCTGTGTGAGTGACATCAGTTAAAGGGGGTTGTTCACCTGTACTGCTGTGTGAGTGACATCAGTTAAAGGGGGTTGTTCACCATGTACTGCTGTGTGAGTGACATCAGTTAAAGGGGGTTGTCCACCATGTACTGCTGTGTGAGTGACCAGTTAAAGGGGGTGTTCACCTGTACTGCTGTGTGAGTGACATCAGTTAAAGGGGGTTGTTCACCATGTACTGCTGTGTAGGTGACATCAGTTAAAGGGGTTGTTCACCATGTACTGCTGTGCAGGTGACATCAGTTAAAGGGATTGTTCACCATGTACTGCTGTGTGAGTGACGTCAGTTAAAGGGGGTGTTCACCATGTACTGCTGTGTGAGTGACATCAGTTAAAGGGGGATGTCCACCATGTACTGCTGTTTTTGTGACATCAATTAAAGGGGGTTCTCCACCATGTACTGCTATGTGACTGTCACTCTTGCAAATCTTCTATAATTTAATCAGTTATTACAACCTTTGCAGAAGTGTCCGACAATACGTTACTTTATTCATGATATTGTTGTATCGCAGCGTGTTGTGTGATCAGCTGACAGGCGGTGACCCAATCAGAGGCTGTGTGGTTGACTGGGACATTGTTGACCTGCTGGTGCTGCCCTCTGTACTTCTGGTTCATTCGGAGATCGGTCTCCACATCCTGTGTCCAAGCTCCCTGCAGCTGAAGTGCATCACTGTCACCACCAACACGTAAGTAGAGGCTGTAGCAATATCTCCATGTGTACATTGAGATAACATCATCTGTAGTCGGTCACAGCAATCTTATTAAAATCAGATCTTAGTTCTCGCTACCGCTAAACAAAGATCTGAGGACATCCCATTACGGGTCATGTCAGACCGACCTTTTGCGAACTTTGATCGACCAATGGAATGACCAATCAGAAGGCAGCTTTCTCGCGCTTTACGGCACTAATTTCAAATTGGCGACTACGCTTCGAAACATATTTTGACAAATTCTCGATAACAAATTTGAAACCTGATCAAAAGAACATTCTGGAATGGCTAATAGATGGTCTAGATTGTATGGATTCAGTCGTTAAACCCGTATTCGGAATATCCCGAGTTAACGTTTTCGAGGTTGTATGATTAGAAATCACATTCCGACTGTAACTTTCATGATCTGGTAAGTGATGCTCTGATTGGTTGGATGAAAGGTCGTTCTGACGTGACCTCTAATGGGATGTCTTCAGATCTTTGTTTAGCGGTAGCAAGAACTAAGATCTGATTTTAATGAGATTGTTGGTCACAGCAAATAAAGTCGCAGACCCAAATATAAGATGTTCGTTATTAGGAATTATGCCCTTTGAAAGATTTATGACAGTGTCATTTCCTCCACTGCCTGTGCTCCTGTGGTACATCTGTCTTCAGTTGGGGGCATGGTGTCCCAGTCATCTAAGTAGCCACAATTCACTGTCCCTTGGGCACACCACAAGTTTATGATTGTGGGTTCGAATCCTGGTTCATGCTGATTATGTTACTAGATTTATCAGCACCAAACCCATGCTCGTTCCGAAACCTACATCACTTCAAACTTTCCTCCTACATTAAGCTGACACGTTGGGATACTGTTCAAAGAGGCATTAAATCCAACTCACCTACTAACTCAGGTCAATTGTACTTACAGAAATGTAGGATTTATTTGTTTGTTTGTTGTTTGTTTTTTTGTTGTTTAACGCCACACTTGGCAATATTCCAGCTATATGATGGCAGTCTGTAAATAATCATGTCTGGACAAGACAATGCAGTGTTTGACATCATGAGCATCGATCCACACAATTGGGATATGATGACATGCATGAACCAAGTCAACGAGTCTGACCACCCGATCCCGTTAGTCGCCTCTTACGACAAGCATGGTCACCTTTTACGGCAAGCATGGGTTGCTGAAGACCTATTGTACCCCGGATCTTCATGGGTGTGAGAAATGTAGGAAGATGTGCCATGTTCATGCAAGTCTCCAACTTCACTCTTGACTTTGCAACAGAAATATAAATTTCAGTATAAATCTTTTGAGTTATACAGATGAGTATTTCAGACACTTGGTTCCTCCACAGACACTCCCTGTCCCTGAGTTCAGACCAGAGGACGATAGAAGCTCCCAATCTGTCCACAGTTCAGATCATTGGAGAGAGGGTCCTGCCAGGCACAGGGGATGGCAGCAAGCAGTACGGGACTGCCGTGGCAGCAGACAATCACCTCCTCCTGTTCCAAGGCCGTGAGGCTGAGGTCGGTGTGTGTATCGCAGTGCCTGGACATGCTAAAGAGTTCTGTTGGGTGAATAGAGATGGTGAGTGGGTTAATGAAGTTAACATGGCATTTATGTTGTGATCGTTGTGTCCGTAAGATTCCTTCTTTTCCCTAGCTGTCACCACATTACTTGTCCTCCAACACGACCCCTATATATTGTAAAGAAGGCCTTGTTAGGCCCCTTGTGTAAAATAAATGTCTTCTGATTCTCTACACAGGATGTTTGTCCACAATAATTATGCACATACATAAAAATATTTGTGTATTAGTGCAAAATACTATTATCTTTTTCCAAGGGAGATAATTATTTGATCAAAAGTATGCCTACAAGATGACAACAGATATAGTGGACATAATCTGTGTTGACTCCAAGGTTAGATGTTAACAGTACTCTAGGTCATATATAAGACTCAGTCATATCCCTGGTTCAAGAAATGCTGTCTGACCTGAGGTAGATATCAAATGCCAAGTTACCTCCCTTATCCCTGCCAATAGTTGCTTGGGCTTAAAAAAATATAAGAATTGGTTCTCAGGCAATGTTTTTTTAAAATATAGTGCAGGCGGGCAGTGTCTTTTTTTTACCTGGTTATGTAACCAAATACACAGTTGTGTAACCAAATACACAGTTGTGTAACCAAATAAACAGTTGTGTAACCAAATACACAATTGTGTACAATCAACCTGGGAAAGGGCCTCCACACATAAATGTATTCCTTGATGAATAAAATACTCGAATACAGTATTTGACTACCGTTGAACTCAGAATATTTGTTGTTGTTTCTTAAAAGGAAAAAAAAACCAAACGTACGGCAAACTTTATGATGATGCGGGCGGTGCCTGAGAACTAAGACTATTATTTTTTTTAGCCTCGTCATGGGTTCAGACACCAGATTAGCTCTGATCATGATCCATGTTTGTCTGCACTGTATATATATACGTGCTTGTGGGTTTCACAAAAGTGGCAGACGTCTGTGCCACTTTGGGCTTCCTTCCCACAACAAGTTGATGCATTGGTGGTTTGACTGAAACTCTGTTTGTCAGATTGTTTGTCAGAACCATATCATTGCCGTAGGTTTCACTAAAATGGTATCTCTATATTTGGCTGATAGCCAGACAGTCTTTCCCAAACATTTTGAGTCCACTGGCCCAAACATGATTCTCAACATCTTTTTCAGTTGATTTTCATGTTATTATGTGGACAATTATTAGCTGAGCTTACAAGACCAAACAGAATGTTATTAGACTTGGATTAGTCTTTGGATTATTGGCTAAAGTCATACAATGGTCACATATATTAGAGTTTTACTCAACCAACTTTCACCAAAGTTGTAAACATCTATGGCCCCTGTCACTTTTGCCATTCCTTCCACACATTCTGACACTGATATACTGTAAATCTTGAAATTAACGCGAGCGTGAATTAAACATCGCATTTATATCAACAATAAGACACTTAAGATAGCAGAAATACCAACTTAGACATATGCTGAAAACAAACAACTATGTATTCAACATCACTGTTTATTGAGCAGAATTTGTAACAAATGTCATTCAAACTCTAATTACATCCTGTGAATTGTCACTGCTGGGGTCAAGACAAGAGTTCTACTCACTTATGTCATCACTGATCACACCTGCAAGTCCAGACAGACGCCACCCACGGAACATGGTGTCTTTGTTCTTTGCGACTGCGTCAAAGGCCGACACGAGCCAGCGCATGTATTGTTTTAGCGGAAGTACTCTACTCAGCGCTAATAAGCGGTGCTATTTGGTGTGTGATTGGATTAATGTAAGGTTGGATTAAAGTGAGGATTCTCCTGTAAACCTGACAGAGGACATTTCTTTAGATATACATCCACTGATGCTTGAGAGGAGGGGGTGTCACATTCATATTGAGTCGCATTTTTGGCTAGGGACCAGCAGTCGCATTCTTTTGGAGACGCATTAATTTCACGATTTACAGTATTCAGTTGTTTTAATGTTGGCGTCCTGTCCTTCCAGTTGGGTTCCTTGTGTCCGTGTCCCTCCAAGACCCAAGCCAGGTCAACTACAGAGAGACGCTGTACCACTACAACTACCGCGGGGAGCTCCTTGCCGTCCTGCCATTCCTTGGCCCGGGGCCCAGAAACATGTTCCCCGCTCTGCTCCCCGGAACCCGGGAGGCTGCGGCTCATGACCCGTTGCTAGGGAAACCTGGATGGTATGTGTTCCTGCGAGATGGCCATGAAGGAATTATGGGAACCAGGCTTTGTGACATGTGAAATGGAACAGACTGAATCAAGACTAGCGAGTCGGTGATAGTGTACCGGTATATTGTCTGTGTTGAAGTATTGGAACTGCAGTTATCGAAAGTGTGTATTAAATAGGGCTGGGACGGGTAACTCTGGTACTCGGGTCGGTTGGGTACTGAGTAGGTCCCTGGTACCCACAGGACTACCTGCACATACAGAGACGCATACACATCAATACATGTCAGAATAAAATGTTGAGATGTGTTTGCGTGCATTGTTTCCCAAGTGTATTTGGTAGACAAGGTTGGGAAGCCATGATATCATTTTACTGTGTCTAAAACTTAGTCTTCCCTTATTCCTTTCCATCAGTACATGTATTTTATCTTTTTTATGCTCCTGTCTATCGATATCATGCAATTACGTTTACGCAACGATGAACTATGCTATAATAAATATGCAAAATAATGTAATTATACCTTAAGGAATGTAGAATGCATGTTTTATACTATATGAATACTGGCAACAAGCATAAATATGCAAAATAATGTAATTATACTTTAAGGAATATAGAATGCATGTTTTATGTTATATGAATACTGGCAACAAGCATAAATATGCAAAATAATATAATTGAGTAAAGAGCATGCTTCCAAATTGACCAATCAGTTCCCAAATATTGTTAATCTCATGGAGATCGGTCGTGGACTGCCCACGTCCAGCATAGAATGTGAGAGGGGATTTCCTAAACAAAACCTCATTAAGACACGACTGAGACATAGAGTAACAACGGAGACCCAAGACAGACTTATGCGCATATCGCTTTGTGGACCAAAATTGACGCATTTCAAACCAAACACCGACGATGCGACGCTGGAAGGCTAGACACAACCAACAGCTTTACAGTGGAAACGATTCGATAGCCAAGTTAGTCAAACCAACATCACAATAGGTTGAAATTGTATATATTAAATCTATGTGTCATTGAATTGTTAATAAATTGTATATATATCATGTATATATGTTATGAAAGTGACACTTGAGTTTATTCTTTTTGTTCATGCGTGAACATCCAGCACCTCAGATATGAGGTGGGCGTGACCAAATGCAAATGTCTGATTGGCAAAAAGATATTTCCGGATCCCTGCTTTTAGGAATGTACAATGCCTGTGGCCCAAGACACATGTGCCAGAGATGTAGAAAAAAGATGTTTTAATATATTTTTTAAGTTCCTACTTATGGATATTATCTTTATCAAGCGAACTACTTACTTGTATGTAAACAGGCCTTTGTTAGGCCTGATTTCTTTACTTTTGCCTCATTGCAATGTTAAATAAAAAAAGAAATAATACATTTTCTTGTTTTTTATCATGTTCATGTCTGCATTTTTTTCCTGGTCCCTCACAAAATAACCTCTTTGCTGTGTATTATTGGACACAAACTGCTATGGGTTCAGTGAAACTGTGTTTGGGACACTGAAAACAAATTCAAAACTTCCTATGATATTTACCAACATGATGAAATCCCATTAAAGCAGATGCCTTGTCCCTAGCAAACCAAATTTCAGATCAAATTAGGTCTGTCTGCTGATTGTGAGTTTGAATCCTGTTATGATTCTTGGTCAGTGGGACCGCCTCCATGGTCTAGTGGTAGATCGTCCGCCCGGAGAGCGGAAGGTCCGGGGTTCAATCCCCAGCCACGTCATACAAAAAGACGTTAAAAGATGGTACTTGTTGTTACCCTGTCTGGCGCTCGGCATTAAGGGGCTAAAACAAGGACTGGTCGGCTCGGAGTCAGTATACTGTGTCTGAGTGGGGTATTCATGTTAAACTGCGGCATGGTATCTCAGTGTGCTAGCACTATAAATCGGCATCAGTCCGGACTAGTACAAGCAGCCACACACACACACGTACATGCACGTCGCTATGTAAGTGCAATAATCTTGGACGCGACGTTAAACCCCATTTCACTTCACCTCACCTTAGTGATCAGATATCCATACTCATGGGTTTCACTGTAGCTGTTAGTGTTGATGACACTTTCCTCCAAAGATACACCAGAGTTACTGTTCCAAGTGGCGTTAACTCACTCACTTAATGGCATATGTTGTTGCATATTGAATGGGTTGACCATGTTTGGTTGAAAAATGTTTTACTTCTGCATACAGTTGATACATTTTTGGGGTCCCTGCCTTATCAAATAATACAAAACTAGTGTCACTACATTGTAGCTCACCTGGATATGTAGTCTTCAGTTTAAGATGTCAAAAATGACACCAATAAACTCTGTGTTAGAATTGGGCTTCCACAACCTATGTTGTTTGTAAGAGGTGACTTATTGGATAGGATGGTCCACTTGGAAACTTGTGTGTCAACGTACCCCAACAGGGGTAATAATATCAATAACTGTTTGTCTGTTCCAGACTTGATTATTTCCAGGCCTCCATCATATGGCTGGAATAAAGAACATTAAACCCAGCACACAGACATTCACACACACACACACACACACACACACACACACACACACACACACACACACACACACACACACACACACACACACACACACAAAACACACACACAAAACACACACACACAAAACACACAAAAAAAACACACAAAAAAAACACACACACACACACACAAAAACACATACGCAAAAAAAAACACACACACTTAACACAAAAGTTTCTGCATGAAACTAAAATTTTGCATGAATGAATCCAGCCATGGTGTCTCTAAACATTGCATACACAATTCCAATCTGACTTTAAACATGGTGGACATATTGAAAATGTGATTTTAGCTCATTACTCATAGAAATATTTTAATGATGATATAACACTATGCTTAAAATATAAACAAACCTCTAAATTTTTGTTTTTGAATTCACCAACTGAACATGCTCTGAAATAACCGTCAGCTCACAAAAATGCCAGTGTCATGACATGACTCATTCAAAATGACACGTTGCTACATGATACAGTGCATACAGTTTTTTGGGTCCCTGCCTTATCAAATAATACAAAACTAGAGTCACTACATTGTAGCTCACGTGGATATGTAGTCTTCAGTTTAAGATGTCAAAAATGACACCAATAAAGTCTGTGTTAGAATTGGGCTTCCACAACCTATGTTGTTTGTAAGAGGTGACTTATTGGATAGGATGGTCCACTTGGAGACTTGTGTGTCAACGTACCCCAACAGGGGTAATAATATCAATAACTGTTTGTCTGTTCCAGACTTGATTATTTCCAGGCCTCCATCATATGGCTGGAATAAAGAACATTAAACCACGCACACAGACACACACATAGACACACACATAGACACACACATAGACACACACACACACACACACAAAAACACACACACACACAAAAACACATACGCAAAAAAAAAATCACACACTTAACACAAAAGTTTCTGCATGAAACTAAAATTTTGCATGAATGAATCCAGCCATGGTGTCTCTAAACATTGCATACACAATTCCAATCTGACTTTAAACATGGTGGACATATTGAAAATGTGATTTTAGCTCATTACTCATAGAAATATTTTAATGATGATATAACACTATGCTTAAAATATAAACAAACCTCTAAATTTTTGTTTTTGAATTCACCAACTGAACATGCTCTGAAATAACCGTCAGCTCACAAAAATGCCAGTGTCATGACATGACTCATTCAAAATGACACGTTGCTACATGTATTCTTGCTTCAAAATTTAGGTTAACCCCTCATATTTCAATGTGACAAAATAGAGTGTGCTTCCATGTTTGTCCCCTCAGGGATTTTTCAGGCAAAGTCTGTCACAGCACCTTACGCTTGCCATGTCAGGAATTTTTGTCACAGTAAAATTACCCTTCTGAACAGGCGACTGGTTCGTCATCAGTGTTCTGTATATCCATGGACAAAGGGTTAACACAGATTATTGCAAGACAGTACACATTTTTTGCCAATCAAGACAAGGATGTTACCGGTAAGCTACATTTATAGCAGAATAATGTCAATCTTGATGTTATGGAGAATATTTAATAGAAGGCATTTGGAGCTGTTTTATCTTCTAATGTAATAGCCCTGTGAAGATCCGGGTTAGAATAGGTTTTCAGCAACCAAAGCTTGTCGTAAGAGGCGACTAACGGGTTCGGATAGTCACACTCGCAGACTTGGTTGATGTATGTCATTGTATCCCAATAGCATAGGTCGTTGTTCATTATGTCAATCATTGCATTGTCTGGCCCATGCCCAATTTTTACCATCTTCTTGAGGCAAGGGAGTTAACTATAAAAGTCCAGTTTCCACCCTTGCAAAACTTGCCAAACCTGGCTGGAATTATGGAGTTATATTTTGGCTGGACTAACATAGTCCAATCAAAATAGCGTAACAAAGTCGACATCCGGTTTGTAAACTGCTGTGCAGATTTCAGTCGATTGCAGGATTTGCAAAGCATGTGTACCGCCAACTCAGCGTCAACAGTTATTTTCAAATCTTTGCATGTATTTAATCAAGGTGCTCACATGATTTGATGTACTTTGCGAAGTAAGACTATATTACAATATAGATTTGATTATCGATCATATTGCCTTGACTGGGTGCCGCCATTTGGTTTGAAGCATAGCAAGTGATATGAAAGGTGGAATCTGATTGGTCGATTGGAGGTACATAGAAGGGACATACAACTTGTAACTTGTAATAGCCACTAGTGGTGCTACCATCGAGGCTGGAATTTCCAGCCTAGTTCGGCAAGGGTGGAAACTGGACTTATATAGTCAGTTAACTCCCTAGCCTCAGGAAGATGATTATTTACAGAATGCCGTCATATAGCTAGAAAAGTGCAGAGTGGGGATAAACAACAAACAAACAACAATTTAATGCAATAAGGTGTAATCAAAGTCACAGTTGTCTACTTAAAATCCTGCATCAGACTACATTTATGCTTCTTCTTGTGATCTCCTGTCAGCTTCAGTGCCAGATTATCAGATGCTGCACTTGCTATGTTTGCATTGAATGTATCACCATCACCAAGGGGCAGTGGGGTAGCCTAGTGGTTAAGGTGGTGGCTCATCATGCAGAAGACCCGGGTTCGATTCCCTTCATGGATACAATGTGTAAAGCCCATTTCTTGTGTCCCCAATCATGATAATGTTCGCAGCATAAAACCATACCCACTCACTCTCATTACTGAACTTGCCACTTTTTGTTGTGTAGATGCTACTGTGTACAGTATTTAAGGTTTTCTTTGGTTGTAGGAATATTCTTTTTTTTTGGTTTATGGTTCTGTTGATTTAAACTTTCACGAATGTAGAATTAAACTAAATGTATTAAGGGGTCTTTATTTGCCAGCTGAGTCTGCTTACAAAGTCTACTGAAAAACACTTTCGAAGATTGATATGGGAAGGGAACTAACACTTTCACTTGCCATGCAAGGTGGGGTGAAATGGGGCTTAATGCCACGTTCAAGATTATCTAATTCATATAGCAACATACATGTGTGTGTGTGGTTGCTTGAACTTGTCCAGAGTGATGTCAGTTCTATAAGTGCTAGCTCACTTTGATACCATGCCACAGTTTAACATGGATACCCCACTGAGACATAGCATACCGACACAAGTGAGCCAGTCCTTGGTTTAGCGCCTTGGGAGACGAGCACCAGGCAGGATGACAAGCAGTACCATTTCTTTGTCTGTTGGTATGACACATATAGGGTATTAAACCAAAACCACCAACCTTCCGCTCTCTAGACAGCCATTCTTTCCACAACACCAGATGGGCACTCTTACCATACAAAGACAGACTCCAAGCTGCATGCTGTTTCATTTGTTACTTCACCCTCCCAACCATAGTATTAAAGGGCAAGTTCACACGGAAATGAACCTCATTTTCTTGTACTTTTTCCACAATAAAAGTGTTAACCTAGAAGTGTCATAGACAAAAATATAAAAATATCACAATTAATTAACATATGTTTTGCATTAAAACGATTTATATTTTTCACATTTACCAAGTGTTCTATTTCCATAACAAAAACACCATGGCTTATGCCCCTTGCAATATGACGTCATTGGTGCCAATTGATAAACATTATGACGTCATCATGCTATGTTAGAGCCGCTTCACGTGGTGTAGGTACAGCTGTGTGATTCTAGCGTCTCAGATGCCAGCCAGCATAGTGTTATGCTGAGTCATCACTGCGCCGGAGTGTGTCGTAGGCCATGTTGTTTTACCGAAAACTGGTACTTGATATCTTTTGCGTTGAGGATAGACGGGGATCCAGTTGAATTGGCACCAATTACGTCATAATCTAAGGGGGATAACTCAGGCCTGTTTAGCTCGAAAAACGAAGGCCTCATAACGGCATATCATTTTCACACTATTGTGAGCTTCCTACTTTCACTGTGAAAAAAATGAGTTTACATTTCAAACACAGATATTAACTAATTCTAAAATTGCGTTTTGTTTAGAAAAAGAAAGAAAGTGAATTTTGTGTGTACACTTCCCCTTTAAGGATGTCTGCTGGTAGGATTTCATTTTCAGTGCATAGTTCAAGCTGCCTTGGGGGCATCGGGTAGCCTTGTGGTTAAAGCGTTCGCTCATCACGCTGAAAACCCGTGTTTGATTCCCCACACGGGTACAATGTGTGAAGCCCATTTCTGGTGTCCCCCACCCCCTTACCTCAAGCCAACCCCCACCCCAACCCAACCCAACCCAACCCAATATCGCCAATAGGAAGCAATGAAGCTTGGAATCAGGAATTTAAAGTGACTTAACTCCCCTTTTGTGACCGGTCACGTCCACAACGGCAAAAAGTGAATGGGTGTTGCAGCGCAACGTTCTATGAACTATTACGTCACTGCAGTGTAACCTGCATGATGTCATAGCACTGTATGATGTCAGAATGTCACAGTAGTTAGAAATTGCCATTAAATTATACATTTTCTATCTCCACAGGATAATCAAGGGTAGAATTATTAGAGAAAAAATAATTATGATAAAGTTTTTTAACAACATAGTTACCCATGGCTGACAAGTCTGTCTGTTGAGGTTTTGTTTTGATGAAGATGTCAGGGGCCTGTTTCACAATGCAATTGTAATGTTAAAACGATTGTTAGGCCTTTGTTTTCTCATTGGATTACGATCAACATAGCGCTACAATCACTTTGTGGAATGGCCCTGAGCAGAAAGGCAGAACTAACTAAACATTTCCATAAAAGTAATGGAAAATAGGACACACATACAATTGTCACCATTGTTTATTAAGTACTGTAAAGCCATGTACAAGTAAAAAAGTCAAACACAACAAAGTTAAGGTGACTGAACATAGATTCATGATAAAGCTGTCACGATGACAAGGCACTATTGTCACATGCTACAGGACAAATATGGCCTCACAGCCTCACAATTAACACCAACACAAAGCATCTAACCACAACAATTTCTGAGACAGTGAGATGTCATTAAATGCTGGGGTTTTTAAACAAATGTTTCAGTCATACTGCATGTCAGCTTCATGTGGGAGGAAAGACAAAAGTAATAGGCATGAGCATGGGTAAGATGCTGACAAACCAAGTAGGGCTGGGACGGGTAACTCGGGTACTCGGGTTCTCGGGTCGGGTGGGTACTGTGTAGGACCCGGGTACCCACAGGACTACCCGGACCCGTGGTTCGTCATGTGATATATTGTTTAATGATTAAATATATCTAGAACTCTATGGTTACAGTACAAGTCACTAATGTTCGCATTTCTTTCTGACTAAGCACCATTGCTTCTGACCTTTAAAGGTTTGAATAAAAATAACACTTCAGTTAACTTCAGTGTATGCATGACCAGATCGTTTTATACATTTATTTAAATACATTTTACCAGGGCTACGCTCAAACTATTTCCAATCGGACATTTTGTACCAAACTCTTGAGACCTGTAGCGGGTATCCGGGTAGTAAATTTGAACCTCGTCCCAGCCCTAAAACCAAGCATCAAATCTGGAATCATGGCCCACAAGTAGCAGATCCTGGCAATTGAGGGACACAACTCTGCACAGGAAATGGCAGTGTATGAGACCTTTGGGCCACCCTCTTTCTGTTACAGATGCAGTTCTCATTATATACAGACCCCTAACCAGCCAAACTGCTATCTCATTCAAATCAGATCTTAGTTCTGTTAAACAAAAGTCTGAGGACATCTCATGAGTAATGTCAGAACAACCTTTCGTCCGATCAATAAAAACATTGCTTACTAGATTGGGAAAGTGAGTTGGAATGGTTTTTTTCTAATCATTAAACCTTGAAGAGGTTTACATGAAGCATTCCAAATGACAGTTATGGCCTATACAACTGTTTCTGTCAATACTTATTGTATATCTCTCGCTTCAATGGGATAAATATTTTGAAACGAAAGAGACAATCCATAGCCTGTGTAAAGTATATCATAAATACCATATAATCAAGGCCATCTATCAGGCATTCCCAAATTTTCATTTGTTCAGTTTTCAAATTTTGAATGCAGAACTTTGTCAAATTAGTTTTCAAAGCATAGTCTAGAATGAAAGTTGCCAGTTAGAACCAAGTGCTGTAAAGCTAGAGAAAGTGCCTTTCTGATTGACAAATGTCAACTTCTTCTTAGTCATTTCATTGGTCGGTCAAAGTTTGAGAAAGATCTTTCTGACGTGACCTGAAATGGGATGTCCCCAGATCTATATGAAGCAGTAACGAGCACTAAGATCTGACTTTAATTAGATTAGGCTAATTGTTTGAGAAAATTTAAAATTTATGAAGGACAACTCAAGACATGATAATGCTGAAGAAAATAACTAGTTCCTGCTCATCAACATAGTAACCCTACATAACTGTCTGAAGACACACACACTACCTACATTGTTATGCTACATAACTGTCTGTAGACACCAGGGGCCCGGAAACGGTCATATGCGCCGGACATGTCCGATGTTTTCTGAGATGGGGGGAAAACATCATGTCATTGGAAAACTTGAGTTTATTAAAAATGTTAGTAAATTATGGGAGCCATGCTTTAGCGCGTGCTATAACCGAGTTAGCAGTATATTGAAGTGTGCAATAACGGAGGAACACTGAACGTAACAATTTGTAATGTGTGTGTTTAGTTGTACTAAAATACGCTATTTGAAGGGGGCGTGGCCTAAATGCAAATGTCCGATTGGGATTTTAAATTTTACGGACCCCTGGTAGACACCCTCACTTGCTATCTTTAGAACAACATGAAGGCACAAATGCTAAAACATGATAACGTTAATATTTTTATAATAAAATCACCCTGAATACAGCAAATATTTTTTTGCAACTAGAATATCTTTGACTCAGAATGTAATACTCCTGATCTGGCAAAGTGATTTGTTTACTTTAAGAGAATCATTGGAAGTTACCTATCCACATGTATTTAGAAAATATATGGGTGAGGTTAGGTGAAATGGGGTTCAATGTCATGTTCAAGATTATTACACTTCTATAGCAACATGCATACACATGTGTCTGTGTGTGAGGCTGCTTGTACTAGTCAGGATGTATGATGGTTTTATAGTGCTAGCCCACTGAGATACCATGTCACAGTTTAACATTGATACCCCACTCAGCCACAATATACAGGCTCCAAGCCAACCAGTCCTTCTTTTATCCCCTTAATTCCAAGCCCCAGGCAGGGTAGCAACAAGCACATCTTTTAACATCTTTTGGTAAGACAACCAGAGTCACCAACCTTTCGTTCTCCAGGAAGACGCTCGGACCACAGGGGCGGTCAGAAAATACATGTATACTAAACAAGACCCATTTATTTTGGAAGTATGTGTGACACCCATGTAAACCATACTGTAAAAACATGGTCAATAATCACGTAACATGATACAACAGGGCCAAACTGGATCTCGTCAATCGATATTTCTCATAGCACCAAAAGCTATAAAAAGCACATGAAAAACATTCACAATAAATGCTAAAACAGATGCAGAATCTACCCTTATGAAAGGGGCGGTCGGGTAGCCTAGTGGTTAAAGCGTTTGCTCGTCACGTCGAAGACCCAGGCACGATTGCCAAACGAACATACTGGCATGTTGTGTGAACCGACACTCACTTAAAAGCATCACATGTGACGTAACAGATCCATGACTCGAGATGCACCATTTGTCTCGTGCAGGACTAGCGTGTACAGTTTGGAAATTATGTGCAGCATATTGTGATAAGAATAAAGACACTCTGTGACTGATTGCTAGTTTTGTCATTAATTAGTACACATTGGAAACATCTCTCCTTCAGGGACATACATCTCTATATGTTTCTATGGTTCGCTCTTCTTTTGGTGGTGAGTATATATCACCAACACAATGCAATACAGGCGAGAATCAAAGTCCAAATGTGAAATTGTCAAAATATGGCATAACATATCAAACAAAACATGAAGTAATTCCCATTTTATGACAAGTTTAATACAAAAGTGACTGAGAGTAGCCCTGCACCCTCCTCTGAACAATGATATCGTTGCATTGTAACCTTGTTTTGTGACAAAATAGTGCTGTATGACATTACCATTGGAATATCGCTCTATGTTAGAAATTGAATGAAATACACACAATCTTAATTATTTGCTGAGAAATAAGCACACTAACATATAGAAACTACCTTAAACAACGTAATTAGCGCCCAGGGCTCTCTCAAAATTAGTAAATAGGGGGCTCTTATTAGAATATTATTTTGTCCAAAAAAAAAACAGAGTTGAAAGATAAATTTCGTGGTTCAGTTGACAGCCTGAAATGTTTATATATGAGAGATATATTTTTCCAGAATTTAATTGCCCATAATTAAAGGTGCATATAACACACAAGTGCATATTATACACAAATAAATAAGTACTGTGTACATTGATCAATCAGAAAGGGTGCTAATTGGGATTGTTCACGAGCCAATATATTAGCAAATATCACCATGGGCGCTTATTAGAGCGGGGCGCTTATTACGTCGAATTTGGTATTAGGTTTGTTAACAGATAAACATTTTATCAATATATGATTAAAACATAAAATTAACTATTAATTACTCACTGCAAACCTATAAAAACTGAGGGATTTCCCAATAGGCCTCTATTGTAAAAAGTGAATTGGCATGGCAGTTATTAAGTGCCTAGCACAATTGAATGGACACAAACAGCCTTTCTTCAATTTGGAAGTTAGTTTGTTTATATGTAAATGACGTAATATATCTTAGAAAAAGTTACATACTCTGGACATCCTTGACATCTTCAGGAAAGACCATTCTCCATCCACCTTACAAAAGTACAGAACAAAGAATAATGTGGTTTGGCAGAGAAGACGTAGACATACTGAACACACTGGCATCACTTCAGAATAATACTCGGGGAGGAGTCGACATTGAATGACCAAGACTTCTACCATTACACATCAACAATTTTTAGAAGCAATGAACAAATATTTGTTTCTTCTATTAAATACGACATTTTCCTGAATGTTAGGAAAATCTTATTAAGAACTTTACATCAGCTAAGTGTAAACGACTTAAAAGAGGTGGTAAAACTCTGTGAACATTGTAGCTTGCGAGCGTCTAAGAAAGTAGTTCCGGCAAAAGTTCACGTTCAATTTCACACAAAAATTGTTCACATTGTGTGAACTTTTCTGTCCATTCACAGGTGTGTGAACTCCAAATACATGTATCAGTTCAGGTGTAGCCATTCAGCCAATCATCAAGATGACAGTGTAAACTTTAAAGTATGAAATAATAAAAAAATTATAACACAAACGTGGAGATTCATGATCAGGAAACACTTTTTGCTAGTGTCTTCATGTTGGTGTCTTTGTTAATCTTATTAGCCTCCTGCATCTGTGTATTTTGGCATTCTTGCCTATAAAATTAGAAACACAAAAAACAAACAAATCCACGAAATAATATTTCAACAACATAACTACATACATGAGTATTTGTCTTGTAACCATGCATACCAGTATTAGAATATGAAGTTACTACTATGTCTATAGTCTATAGAGAATGGTTACTGGTCAATGATAAGCAGAATCAACATCAGGCTCTTTCAAACATACAACACAACATGTTTCCAGAGGCACAAAAAGTCTTATATTTGTCCTGGGTTATAATCTCACAACCCATACACATAAATACTGGTGGCATGACATATATCTCTTTCATACAACTTGCTTCAAGTCTTGCAAGACATGCATCTTTATTCAACTGAAACAAGACAGGCAGAGACAAAAGGATCCTGTCATTTTTTAATGTGCATCGGATAAATAAAAAGATGAATCGGTTCACGTTCTCCATCTCCATCTCCATCTCATCCAATGTGCAAAGGCTGAGCCACGTTGCCATGTCCCTTCACATTGGAATCCTGATAAAGATGAAAGTAGGATTGGTTAATCTTCAGGTCTTTGAAAGGCATTTAGAAGTGATACACATAAGGAAGAGAATATATGGATGTCAACTTCTTTGTTATGAGGAACACAACATTTCGGAGTATATGCTTACTCCTTCATCAGGTGAATGGATTAATCACCTTTTGATTAATCTTGTAAATTAATCGGGTTCAGCTTCTCCATCTCAGTCCTATCCAATGTGCGGAGGCTTGGCCACGGTACCATCTCCCTTCACATTGGGATCCGGATAGAGATGAAAGTAGGACTTGAATCTTGTAAATTAATCGGGTTCAGCTTCTCCATCTCAGTCCTATCCAATGTGTGGAGGCTTTGCCACGGTACCATCTCCCTTCACATTGGGATCCGGATAGAGATGAAAGTAGGACTTGAATCTTGTAAATTAATCGGGTTCAGCTTCTCCATCTCAGTCCTAGCCAATGTGCGGAGGCTTGGGCACGGTACCGTCTCCCTTCACATTGGGATCCGGATAGAGATGAAAGTAGGACTTGAATCTTGTAACTGAATCGGGTTCAGCTTCTCCATCTCAGTCCTATCCAATGTGCGGAGGCTTGGCCACGGTACCGTCTCCCTTCATGATGATCCGCACTCGGTCCGGTCGGACATCTCGGTTCACACTGGAGTTCTCAGGCAGCACTTGAATCTACAAGAGAAAGGAATAAATGAAGAACTTCAACTACATTGTTGTTCACATTAGCATCCCTTTGAACATACTGTTGAAAGGTTATTCATCAAAGACTATTTGTAACATTCATCAAAACACTCAGCTTATCTTTCACTGAGTCTTATTGTTTTATTAGTTAAAATTCAGGAAGGAATAGTCGACAATACTAGACATCATATTACATGTTAGATCGTGTAAATAGATACATTCCTCATGTATGTCTAATACCATAAACCTAGTGTCCCTGGCAGGCAATTTGGGGGAAAATCATTATTTTGTTCAAACATGAGATTCTTGAGTGCTCTTACTTTCAGAGATATTTCAGACTGCATACAATGCAATAGTATAAAACAAAGCTTATATATAAATCCTCTTCATCCTGTTATCATTTAATAGAAGGTTACCTCTACAAAAACCTGAAATTAGTTTTTAGTTGTTACATAAATTGGGAAATGAATAATTCTAATTTGGGAATTTAAAATGACATTTGCTGCGGACTTGAGGCGGAATGTCGGCCTCTGTACAGGTCTAGATAAACCCCTGGGTACACAAGGTACATGATCTCTCATGACACCAACTTCTGTCATTGCACAAAGAATTGCAATGCACTGATTCTTCATAAAGGTTTTGAACACCAGTCAATACCTTTAATTGGCTCTGTAGCACTTTCAAGACCTGTGTGAGGTGAAATGGGGTTGCGGTCACGATTATGGAACTCACATGCATGTGCATGCACATATGTGTGGGGCTGCTTGAATTAGTCTGGACTTATGCCCATTTTATAGTGCTAAGCCACTGAAATACCATACAATTTAACATGAATACCCCACTCACACACAGTATACTGACTCCAACCGACCAGTCCTTGTTTTAGCCTCTTAATGCTGAGCACCAGACAGGGTAACAACAAGTACCAATGCCAAGCTACAGGCAGGTTATAACATGTACAGAGCTCCAGATAAGCTTTTGGTGTTGTGGGTATTTTACCCATGCATTTTAAAATCATTGGGTATCAGTAATTCTATCTGCGTATTCAAATTTCTGTTACCCACTAGTTTTTACACATGTGGGTATTTAAGTTAAATATTTAAAAACACTATTCATCTAGTCCCTGCAAACTGGTGTCGTGTGGGTTCGAGAGCTTTATAGGACTCAAAAATACCACGATACTTCCACACGAAAGTGTGATGGCAAATGATCATGATGTGACTGTCATCGTGGAGTTTGGCAAGGTTGACGGAATGCCTGTTTATAATTTCAAAATAAGTTGCTGATTTGCTAATCAAATACGCAGGGTTACTTCACAATATTTTGATGATACGCACAAATTATATTTTTGTAGCGTATCTGTAATGTTCGTTGCGTATTTGATACGCTTGGATTATATTTTACTGCGTATTTCTGCATTTCTGATGCGTATTTCACGCAGATACGCAGCTTATCTGGGGCTCTGCATGTACCATCTCTTAACATCTTTTGGTATGAGGCAGCTAGGAGATGACCTCCGACCTTCCACTCTCTAAGCTGACATTCTATCCACTATGCCACAGAGGCAGTACTTTCAACATGACCCACACAGGAACATAATCATGATAATACATACCGATACATTTGGGTAATCCCTCCGTATAGCTTCTTCAGCTTCTTTCCATGGCTGGAAAATAATGTTTAATATTAGTTGGTAGAATGTATTCATCTATATATTTTTATTATATATGTATATTTGTCTACAACGGAAGGATGATGGATAACACAAAAACTGTCACAACTGTACATATCTAAACCTTTGGCAGTTCTTTCTCACCGCCGTGTGTCCCATTATGAATGCTAAATATGGGGTTATTCTGAAGGGTGTATGTAAATACATAACCCAAACAAATTTGTACCCCTAGAAATGAGAAATTTCAAATGCCAAATCAAAAGTAATTTTGTAACCCTATGGAATTAGCAAATTCTATCAATTTCTAAATTTGAAAAATCAAATCATATCAATATGAAAAGAGACATTTTATCAATACTAAAACTCCCAATAGATATGTGTGTCCTGCTCACACAGGAGCCCCAAAGAGGGGCAGGTCATAAATGGAGCTGTCGAAACAAAAGCAACAACATTCAATTACTTTGAACGATGTCTTCATACATGCATCGTATGTGATTTTGAAGTACAGGCACTCAAGCAAGCACTTCAGTGTGATAGATGTGATGGTTGGCAACACAGCGTATATGCAATATACAAAATAATCCAGCTCATATGATGGCTGTCTGAATGCAATGATTGCCTTGTGAAGAATGTGTTTTATGAAATCTCAAAAGCCTTTGTTTTGTCCTCTATCCCTATGCGATGAACTGACTGCTACACTTTGACATCATACAACTTGTTATAGCAAAAGAAATCCCAACAAACATGGCCGTCAGAAAAGTATATTTGGAAATCTATAATCCTTCGATATCTATTATAGGCCCTATATCTTACTACATGTTATAAACGAACATATGAAACCAAACAGTTGTCCAATAGTCCAATGATAATTACTGTCTTATACACGAATATTTAGAAATACGAAATAGAGTTACCAAAGAACATATAATAGATTATTATACGAAATTTCTTAATTCTAGGGTTACGAATTTTTCTAGCGGTACGAATTCGTTTGGTTTACGAAATTACCGCGACCCATTCTGACGGGCATGCCGCCAATCCACCTTTAAAAGAATCTGTAGAATACTCGTCACATAACCTACCTTCCCAACAAGTTCAGGCCACGACTGTCGAGACATCTTGTGCATGTAGCTAGGTACAATCACTTAGCGTAGGTTCTTAGGATTTTGTCATTGCATCGTACCCATACTGTCCTCTTTGTACCTCCCGCATTCCGATACTATTTTGACATCTCCAGTTAACCTGACAGGTACTCGGGGAGAAATTCCTAATGGTGTTGTTTAATAGTGTTTCAGTATTTACCTACGTTGAAAACGCGAAATCGCTGTAAAAAGTGGTAAAGTGGAAAGTTTATTTTTTTATTTAATGTCAATGTAGTTTCCTTTATGGTACAGTTGTTTTCAAAACACCATACAGTATTTCTTCATACTGTCAAAATATAAAAATAGCTGTTCCCTTGCGGCGGTGATGAGGGTAGAAATATCCAATTGTACTCATCTGTTGTCATCAGTGTGGCTCAAGAAACTGAAGAAAGGTGTATGAATGTATTTATTGAATACAAATCTGGGCCCAAATCTTATGTATATATATAATTTACCCGTAGTGTAAGTTCATTTTATCTTTATGTCTCAAATATATCCGTTTTGGTCATACACGTATATTCCACATTTCACGTGGTGCTCATTTGACATAACACCGATGAATATAGGTGGCGTGTCAAGCTCCACTCAGGACATACAACCTTCGTTAACATTGATTCAGGGAAACGAAATATCGCTGTGAGGAGCTTGCTGGGCCTCTTAATAAAGGGACATTACTCAATCCACTCATCACTATGACATGTCACCGGTTTGTCTGAAGCAATATTGTTGAAAAGTGTGATTTGAGTTGGTATTCCACGTTGAATGATTGTGAACGACGTTACTCGACAGTTTATTTATTTCAACTTTTAACTCAAAATTTGGTCTTAGTGCCAGAACAATGTCCACGAAGTCGACAAGAATTGTTCGTTTTATTTGTACTTTCCTTTTTGTATTTCAACTCTGTTCGTTAGTGGATTGTTATTCTCATTCTGAAAACATCGTGGAAAATGTTGACCATTTACCTGGAAGAAGATTATTAGATGATCCTAAGGTGTCAGAAACGAAAAACAAGGACAAAGATAAAGATAAGAAAAAGGTGAGAAAGCCCTCTTGTCATTTCTGAAGCTAATTGTATCAAGTATTAGCATGTTTGTTTTTTTATCAACAGAGGCGGATCTAGGCTTTTTTAAAAGCAGGGATGCACATAATACCTTAGTCAGGAAGTGACCTGACTGAGTACACAGTTAGCATTTAAGGTGTCTGAAAAAGAGGGCCGTCCCCATGCTAAAATGTCCCTGACAATTTGGAGAAAATGACCATAACTTTTAGAGGTAATGGCCACAAATTTTGGAGAAAACAGCCTCAAATTTTGGAGAATACGGACCTGAAAATGGGCTTAACATTTAGTGGTAATGGCCACAAATTTTGGAGAAAACAGCCTCAAATTTTTAAGAAAATGGATCCAAATAAAACTAAGTTATCTAGTTTGTACAATTATTGAATGACATCCTTGTCTCCCATTTTATATTATTAATTGTTATTTTGTTTGTTTTACAATTAGTAGTAGTCATTGAAAAAGCCAGATAGGCCCCAGCAACGACACATACTGGAGAAGTGAGGACTACTGATGGGCCCAAATTGGCCCCATGTATTAATTGTTGGGATTATTGAGGATATAATGGTTTAAACAATAATTATTTAAAAAAACATATAGGTGTAGTACAAGTGTAAAAGCTTATGTAAAGACCTTTCCCGTACACAATAATAATCATAAACAGATAGATATGCTGGCATTTTCTTAATATACATTTTAAGAAAAATTGTGTGATATTGTCGACGATGTATAACCAGTTTTATCATAACAATTTTCATCATGACAAATAAAATCATTGTTTACTTAACTTGATTGGGATTAATTAGCATGATTAATTACTTTGTTTATGCAGCATAATTAGTTTGTTAGGATGAGGATTAATTGCCTCTACTCTGATACACATTTAGGAAGTTATGCAGTTTTGACAGGCCATCTGACAGAATTTTCAGTCCCGAATTATCGATCAATAAATGAACTTTATAAGTTGTGTAAGTGTCAAATTTCACCAAAATTTGTGGCCATTTTTACTTAAGTATGTGGCCATTTTCTCCTTATTGTCTGGCGCTATGTTCTCCACTCGGGGTGAGCTCCCCTGCACACATTCACAACACACGCCCTACGAGGTCCGCCAGTGATCTCAAACTGTGAGTGTGAGGGACACCTTCTCCTGACAATTCATGATTATCGTCATGAGGTGAAAATGAACCCGTATCTCATATGTCGGTCCTTGCCCTTTATCACTTCCCTGTAAGTCTTATGTATGTATCCAAACAGACAACCTCGTGCTTTTCCAGATAGAGTATCTGCCTGTAGAGCAGAATTTTGATGGTTTGATCCCCTGGCCACGTCATACACAAAGACATTAAAAGATGTTTGTTACCCTATTATTAGATTTAATACTGGTGTTGCCATAACGTTCCTCATGTTACATAGAATGAGAGTTCTCTTATTGCAGCACTGAGTCACTTTACATTAGTGAAAGTCCTTACATTAACCATGTTAACACTAAGATCTACTGGAATTGATGTCAAATGATGTTCTGGGCAGTAGAATCAGAAGATTTTGGCACACAATGTTAAAAGTAAGGAAACAATGGTTCCACTAGTATATGGCATGCTTTTTATCAGTTATGGTTATTATGAACATTATTAGGAGTCAACAACAGTTAGCATTGTTAGAGTGAGCAGCAAACGTGTGAAAATCATATAGAGGGATTTACACAAAGATGCATTGTCAGCATTTCATGATTGTCATAAACATAAGGACATTTGATGATGAAGATGGGGAGTTTATCTTTCTGGAGGAGACGATTTCATCCTCAGTGTAGAAAGTGTCCCCCTGGCTTGACCAGCCTTTGATCACACAGAGTTGCCTTCAGCCATGATGGTAGTTAGTCCCTGTTATTATGAAGGGACAAGAGTTGTGACAGACATCATCATGATTATGGTCATAAAGCTGAAGACATCATCATGATATGTGTGCCCGATATACCCGGTAGCCTTACTGCATGCCAGATGTTGCAGTTCATCCCCAGATGTGTCAGTATAATGTTCTTTTATTTGCAATCATTTTGCAAATATGTTTGTGTGAAGTCATTTCTTTCTGACAATGCACACATTCTTTCAGACTGTTATTTGGTTGAATAAGTATAAAGGTTGAGTTACCTTCAGCGTAGGCATGATAAGCACGTTTTATCCAGGAATCGGAAAAGGTTTTGCCAAGGCTACGATAAAATAATTTCCAATTAGATATTTCTGACCCAAGACAATTTGTACCTGTTATTTCATGAATCACACATGGCAACCCAGTAGAACTCATACAAAAAGATGGACAAATTTATACATTTAGGTATCCAATGATTTTATTTCTCTTGAAATGATAAGCCAGTCATTTCTAAGACAGTGTGCATTCAAGACCTAACCCTAGTATTTCCACACAGTATTCAGAAAAGCCACTCCTGGGGCTATTCAAATTTAAAATAGCTGAATATATAAATATGAATAATATAATGAATATATGAAAGGCCAAAGGTTGATGTCTATTATTAGATTTGTAACTACTCTCAACATGATGTTTCCTCATGTAACATACAACACGATTTCTCTTATTGCTGCATGGAATCGCTTTACGTCAGTTAATTTGAAAGAAACCACAATATATGTCCTCCTGTATATCATTACTGCATATGCCAGATGTTGCAGTTATTCCCCCGATGTGTCAATATTATGTTAGTTATTATTTGCAATACATCAGACCTTCAGTGAAAACAAGATTTCCAGTGCCAAGCAGCATTCAAAATTTTCAAGTCCACTAGCCCGACACTACTTAATTGTGCTAAGGACAAATAAAAATCCAATGATGGTAGTCCTAATTGACTAGTTGAGTTTGAGGATTGTAATCCTGAACCAATTTTTAATGCTTTATTTTTACTACAAATTGGAACTGAATAAAACTAACAGAAAATCTAAACATAGTAAACAGTTTTTGTCTCGTTCAAACAGGACCAGCTGCATGCTCTGAGGACTAGTGAAATAAGGCTTGCACGAGTTCCCTGGACAAGTCCTAAAACAGATGAATATTCAAAGGCTACATATGTACAAATCCAGCCACATGATCTGTTGTGATCATCTAGCATTGTAGCATACGTACAAAACAATTGCAAAACATTTCATTTCATAAACATGATAACGTGACATTGTCATGAAAATATGCTGCTTTTCAATGGACTCTTATTTACTCTGGTATTTCATAATATTTGCTGCATGACTAAAATTGTCATGATGATGCAGTATATAAACAGAAACCAAAGGATGTTTAAATAAATGATCACAACTGATGTGTGTGCTGCCATTCACATACAGTGCATAATTTCTAAACAGCTCAACTTGCTTGCCATGAACAACTGAAAGATATTTATTTCACTATATACATTCTCATTTCACAATGGCTTTGGGATATTTGGAGAAATGCACTTAAAAATATGTGATATATTTTTATGCATTATTCCTGTAACTTTCAACCATACACTTGAATTCACATTTACTTAGTAGTTAGGCTAATAGCTTTAATCTTTAATCTTTAATCTTGCACTGGGCCGCTGTACTAACCATCAGCATGATGACATAATCTTGTGCAACAGAATGTTCATGTTTATTGGGAGGGGGTGCTGTTTATGATAGGTTTAGGAGATCCGAGATAAGACCAGTCAGCTGTTATCAGTTTATGTTAATGAGATTTGGGGTATACCTCTAGATAAGCCCTTCCATTGAACTTGTGGAGTGAACCAGTTTATTATCCAAACATTCAGAAAATCTTCTCAGTCGGCTGGTCTTTTATGGACGCAACATATTGCGACCCATATGCATACAAACTGTTAACGGTAATAATTTAGACTGCAAGTCTTGTGGGACACGAAATGGTAATAATCTAGACTGCAAGTCCTGTGGGACAGAAATGGTAACAATTTAGACTGCAAGTCCTGTGGGACACAAAACGGTAATAATTTAGACTGCAAGTCCTGTGGGACAGAAATGCTAATAATTTAGACTGCAAGTCCTGTGGGACACAAAACGGTAATAATTTAGACTGCAAGTCCTGTGGGACACAAAACGGTAATAATTTAGACTGCAAGTCTTGTGGGACACAAAACGGTAATAATTTAGACTGCAAGTCCTGTGGGACAGAAATGGCAATAATTGAGACTGCAAGTCTTGTGGGACACAAAACGGTAATAATTTAGACTGCAAGTCCTGTGGGACAGAAATGGTAATAATTTAGACTGCACAAAAAAGCTGTTTAGTTCATTTATAGAAATTGTAGGTTGTCCTTTACTTGTAACGGACAATTTGAGTTCAGGGTGTCATTGGGTGTCTTCAGTCTAAACATTGAATCCCCTGTCTACAACAGGCTTCAAGTTTCTGAGTAGTGTGCAATGATGTGGCATTAATAAACTTCTTAATACACTTCTTGTAAATCAAGTAAAAGTGTCACAGGTCACCAGCCTGGGACCCCAAATTCCTGCCGTGGACACCCGATATGTACCATGATGTACTGCTAAGCATACTTTGGACTCAGATAGACCGTGGTTGAGATGACTTGTCAAACTTTACGTTCATGTGGACTGTTGTCATGGTTATCATCATCTCTATCACCATGGTAACGTCTGAAACCTGTAGAAATATGTGCTATGTGGGCGACACTGGGTAGCCCTGTCATTAGACTAACTTTTAATCTTAAAATGTATTCTTTTTTATAGAAATAATCAACTGCATGTAAATAGAAAAGGAGACCCTGAACCTGTGGGAAATCTAGACTTGCTTCATTTAGGGTTATAGCATTACAGTGAGGGCTGAGCGTAAGGGAAAATAGTGTGGTTTGGGGACTGTGAGACAGACTAACTGGCCTCCAGCATGTTCAGGATAAAGTAAACTTAGCAACAATTTGTGTACTTCCCCAACAGACCTATATACATAGACTTTTCACATAGACCACTTATGATAGTGCAGTATTAGCACTGGGTGCCAATGACCATGGTCATGTATGTATCATAACACCGTGTACACTGACAACATTTCAGAGTTACAGATAAGCAGCGTCTTTGCGTAAAATACCCTTTAAAAATATTCAAAACCAAATTACTTTCAATAAACTTGCATACAGAAACGCATGCATTAAATAAGAAACTCAAATTATAAAAACAGCATGCATAAATACCCAATGAAGCTTTTTCAGCATGTGTACAACAGAGCTAATTTCCGAAACACAATTACGAGCTGATTTACTTTCTGAGCCAGGCCAATAATTAGAACCGTTTTTAAATGTTTTAGAACTTTTTTTCATTTTTTTAAATCTTAAAATGTTCACTCTTTTTGGGAAAACCCAATAGAGTGATGAATATATAAGTGAAAAAATATTTGGTACCCCATGAAAAATGTTATAGCCCAATAATAATAGAAACCTTCGAGTAGAAATTCATTTATGTTCCGACCCGTGAAGATTCCGGGGTAGAATAGGTCTTCAGCAACCCATACTTGCCGTAAAAGGCGACTATGCTTGTCGTAAGAGGCGACTAACGGGATCGGGTGGTCAGGCTCGCTGACTTGGTTGATACATGTCATCGATCCCAATTGCGTGGATCGATGCTCATGATGTCAATCACTGGATTGTCTGGTCCAGACTCGATTATTTTACAGACCGCCGTCATATAGCTGGAATATTGCTGAGTGCGGCGTTAAACAACAAACAAACAAACAAACATTTATGTTCCTGTGGGATAAGCTGTAACTAAATTACCAAGATTTCAGAATCCTTTATTCCTTACATATGTCTCTGTGGCTATGTTTATTCTAGCACAGGTGTAGACACCATTGGTCTTAGCCAACAAGTCACTTGCTGGTCAATTTTGGACTTGCGGTTCAGTAACATAACTAGAATTTTGGAAGAAAACAACTGGTCCCACTACATTTTCAGTAGTCAGCGACTTATGGACTAGTGTCCAGCCCTATCCCTGTGGCAGTTTTCAGAATTAATTTTATTCATCAAAGATTAATACCGTATTCGACCAAATAAGCGCCCACGGCGATATTTGCTAATATATTGACAAGTGAACAATCCCAATTAGCACCCCTTACAAGACTTATTTATTCACATATGCACCCTTAATTATAGGTAATTAAATTCTGGAAAAATATATATGTCGTATATATACATTTCAGGCTGTCAGCATAAACCACAAAATTTATCTTTCAACTCTCATGTTTTTCACCAAAATAATATTCTAATAAGAGCCCGCTATTTCTAATTTTGAGAGCGCCCTGGGCGCTTATTACGTCGAATAAGGTAGTTACTATTGTGTGAACATGGTAAAATCATATACAGCATAATGTAGTCATCAGAAATTGTTGAAGCATTGTCATTATTGTGCACATGTAGGTTTGTTGTGGAATAATATTAATTATGTTAACGAAACATCATCTGTCACCCTGGTGAATAATGCACTGAATATATAAGAATACATCATTCACAGGTTGTCATGGTTATTAAGGGTGAAACGATACACTGATATTCCGATGCATCGCGATAGTTGACCCACGGTACGATATACGATAAACGTGGGCCCATTTATCGATACGCCACGATACGGAATGCAAATCTCAAGTACAGCTTTTCCTCGCTATTGTGCCTTTCAATAAACCGCTAACTTGGTTTTAGCGCGCGGTAAGGCATGGCTCCCCAAAACGTACTTACATTTTTAATAAGCTCAGGTTTTACACTGACAGATGTTTTTCCCCATCTCAAATAACATTATCAGCCGATTACCGCAAGCACATAACATCGGAAATACCAGTCAGCAAAACCAAACTGAAGTGCCATCATTATACTATCTTGTTATTAAAACGTGTTCATTGTATATCTGGTCATGTGTTTGTAATATATTTTATTAATTTTATTCAAATTTACATTTAATATTGTTTTCATTAAGTTAGGTGAAATCGTGTGTGAAGAGATACAGCAACCACGGTCAGATTACTGCTTTTGACGCATTGAAACAAACTTTAGTTGCTAGAGAATGGATACATATATTAAAAATGACATACTTTGACTCGTTAATAGTCATATTTGTGGCAATTTGGCTAATATATTTCAACATAACATTTTCGCATTCGAAATACCTGTCGCGGGGAAGTCCCTACAGTGACTGGTCAAATTCTTCCATATGTAAAAATATCCTGCAACAGCAATCACCAGTACCAAAATGCTACGCTTATGGTTTTTATAATTTTAAATACATATAGAGTAAAAGCTGCAACTAAAGTAACACGATATTGGAATATATTATTCTTGATAAAACAATAATTTCAGATACAATTTCTTCGACCATTGCATACAAATTCTTTGAAGTTGTATAACTGGTGAAGTACATTAATTATTTTCTGGTGTTTGAACTTTGAATTGTTTTGAAGGAAAGTTAGAGAAAGTTCCACGTTGAAGCTTAACAACTTCAGTTGTCTTGTTATTATAAAATAATGTTGACTGTTCCAAAATCATGAAAGGTCCAATCTTGACATGCTTTAAGTCTTGTTTTTGTATCATTGCGTATCGAGATACGTATCGTATCATGACCAGAATATCGAGATGCGTATCGTATCGTGATCTTCCTGTAGCGTTGCAGCCCTAATGGTTATTACTCCTCTCTTGTAGGGCTGGGATGGGTAACTTTGGTACTCAGGTCAGGTGGGTCAGAGTAGGACCTGGGTACCCACAGGTCTTCCCGGACCTGTTGTTAGTCACGTGGTATTTTGTCTAATGACAAAAACAATCAAACTCCATGGATACATTACAAGTCACTAATGTTTGCATTTCTTTCCGACAATCACTATGGACGCATTCCTTCTGACTTTTTATATTTTGAGTAAAGATTAAGCTTCAGTCATCTTCAGTGTATGCATGATCACATCATTTTATACGTGTATCTAAATGTTTTTTGCCAGAGCTCCAGTAAAACAGTTACCAATCAGACATTTTGTACCCAACTTTAGACCTACAGTGGGTACCCATATAGGGTCAGGAAATTTGTTGTGTACCCGGTAGAAAATTTGTACCTATCTCTTGAGATCTACAGCAGGTACCTAGGTAGGGTCTGGTAATAGTGGGTACCCGGTAGAAAATTTTGAAAAATTAGAGAGCTGGCAGTGATTGCAAATATTACATCCGAATGATCTAGTGTCCAAAGACAGACATACCAATTAAGTACATGTGATTACTCGTTCATCAGGTGGATGAGTACCAGGATGCAAGGAGTAGGGCAAGGATGAGTCCAAATTTACTACCCTGGTACCCATCTCCCTATTCCCTGACCCTACCCGGGACCTGCTGTAGGTCTCAAGAGATAGGTGCAAACTGTCCTGTTAGGAAAAGTTTGATTGTTAGTCCTGGCAAAATGTACCACTTCGGTGAAACCCACGAGCACATGTATGGTGCTAACTAACCTAGAAACATAATCGGGGCGAACCGGGATTCGAACCCACAATCATAGGTTTCTGGCTTGCCCAAGGGACGCAACTCTGCACAGCGAATCACGGCACCTTAGACGACTGGGCCACCCGTGCCCCTATACATAGTTCAGGTGGTCCTGTGGGTACCTGGGTCCTACTCAGTACCCACCCAGCCCCAGTACCCAAGTACCCGAGTTACCCGTCCCAGCCAGAGCAAGGAGCATATTTATTATCTATATATGTATAAGTTTCCACCTTTGATATCTATATATATGTCTTTACATGTACATACATATGCTCTCTGCATCCTAGCATTCATTCATTACTTGAAGAAAGAAAGCATACACTCTACTGGGGGCACGGGTGGCCCAGTCATCTAAGGCGCTGCGATTCGCTGTGCAGAGTTGCGTCCCTTGGGCACACCAGAAACCTATGATTGTGGGTTCGAATCCCGGTTCACCCCGATTATGTTTCTAGGTTTGTCAGCACCATACCTGTGCTCGTGGGTTTTACCGATGTGGTAAACGCCTGAGACCTGCATCACTTCGGGCTTTCCTCCCACATTAAGCTGACACGCCGTGATATGACTGGAATACTGTTAAAGGGGCGTTAAACCCAACTTACTCGCTCCCTCACTCATACACTCTACTGTGTTCCTTGTCATGACATCCATAATTTCTCTCTCTTATGTTTATCACCTCTAACAGCCATGGTTTAAATATTGTTAAACACTGGAGTCAATGACAACTATGATAATTCATGTGGTGGTGCTAAAATCCGCAAATTATCTTTTTGTCTCCAATATTGGTGAGATATTTGTACATCAATAAACATGCCATTAGCTGTTATTATTTGAAGCTTGTGCGACTGCAGACAGTCATGTTGCCCTGACAACCAATATAATGACCGTAGGATTAACATTACTGACATTCACTTCTGTTGCTGCTATATGTAATCTGTGTAATATGTAATCAAAGGCACCACTGACTTTAGTCAGTGATAACCGTAGTTTGTTTTAAGCATATATACAGCATATATACAGCATATATACAGCATATATACAGCAAATGGACATACCAAAAAACAGTTCATTGTATCCATCAGTTAATTATAAGCGTGTTTGTTGTAAACATAGTTTACTGTATATAGTTATATTGGGTTCTAAATTCTGAGTATTTGAGTGCCATTGTCATTGTTAAGATCAAAATGACATCATGAAGATAAGATATTTATTATATTGATATGGTGATAAACTTTCTTTTGCACAACTATGCTGGACTACCACTGATCATGCTGATTCATGACAATATGGGGGATTCACGCTCACAAGTGATGTCACCATCTCTACCTCTCTTATCACAAATTTAACAAAGTTAACAAAATGTCGTTCAGAGCTCCAGATAAGCTTTTGGTGTTGTGGGTATTTTACCCATGCATTTTAAAATCATTGGGTATCAGTAATTCTATCTGGGTATTCAAATTTCTGTTACCCACTAGTTTTTACACATGTCTGTTGCGTATTTGATACGCTTGGATTTTATTTTACAGCGTATTTCTGCATTTCTGGTGCATATTTAACGCAGATATGCAGCTTATCTGGAGCTCTGGTCGTTTGTAATTTGATTGGATGGCTATTTTTAGTGTCATTACATTTGAGTCAGGCTCAAAACTGAGATATTGCTGCAAATGGGTCCAGGGTATTAATCATACGAGAATGGAGATTTGTTACCCTGGATGTTGTAGCACGTCCCTGAATATTATTACAACTATAAATTCTGTCCGCAGACATCGGAGGAGGAGGAGTGGTGGTCGGACGAGCATGGCATCCTCCATCACCTGCGGAAGAGGAAAGGGGACCTGGGCTTCATCCATGGTTTTGTTGCCTCTCTTTCTGTCATCATTGTGTCGGAGCTGGGAGACAAGACCTTCTTCATCGCGGCCATCATGGCCATGCGACACTCGCGTCTCACTGTCCTGACTGGAGCTCTCGGGGCTCTCATCTTTATGACCATCCTCTCAGGTATTTGTCATCATCTGTGTCACTTGTAAGTGGCGTTCTGTCCAACTCACTCGCCTACTTCGGATACTGGAATTGGATAGATGTCTGAACTCATATTCCATAAAGCAATGAACCAAGTAACACTGCAGTTAATTAAGAACTGACTTTCACTTTGTGTGAGATCATTGAAGTATGAACCTTCATTGAAGTATGAACCTTAATTGAAGTATGAACCTTTATTGAACCTTCATTGAAGTATGAACCTTCATTGAAATATGAACATTCATTGAAGCATGAACATTCATTGAAGTATGAACCTTTATTGAACATTCATTGAAGTATGAACCTTTATTGAACCTTCATTGAAGTATGAACCTTTATTGAACCTTCATTGAAGTATGAACCTTTATTGAACATTCATTGAAGTATGAACCTTTATTTAACCTTCAATGAAGTATAAACCTTTATTGAACCTTCATTGAAGTATAAACCTTTATTGAACCTTCATTGAAGTATGAACATTCATTGAAGTATGAACCTTTATTGAACCTTCATTGAAGTATGAACCTTTATTGAACCTTCATTGAAGTATGAACCTTCATTGAAGTATGAACCTTCATTGAAGTAAGAACCTTCATTAAAGTACGAACCTTCATTGAACCTTCATTGATTGAGGCCTAAACTGTATGAACGTTGAAGATTTCTCTAATTTATTTCACATTTAAACAACAATTTGATAGAAAGATCAAGTGGGGATTAGAGTGAGATCCAAACTGAAAACACTTTCAAGCTTTCTCTGAATTTTCTGATATACACCTTAACCTTGACAACAAGGTTATAGTGTCTTTGTCCTCATAGACAATAGTTCTGTATTCATTCATAGAATGGTATTCCCAGGCTTTTCCCCCGGAATGTGATAATAGTACTCCAGTGTTTACATCATTCTGAGAAAATCATGTCATGGAAAATGTTAAAATGTATTGTTCAAAGTTATGAATATTCATTTTCAAGGTCACTTGTCAAATGGGAAATCTTGCATCCTGTCAACTTATTTAGAAATTGTTAAACATCATCAGGTCACTGTTCAAGGGAACAACACATGTTGATCAGACATCTCTTCCAGTATTACATCACATATTACCTATACTAATGGTCCTGACAATGCTGAATAGGCAAGTTTATCAGTGATATTCTGTCTAAACTTGGATTTCCGTCTTTTAGATCTCAGTAATCTCCCCCACCAGTGTTCCATCTTGGACCTGGTTGCGGGCTTGTTCCCAAACCCCTGACTTTTTATTTCTTTTGTGCCATCCTTCAATCACACGCCAGGTGTACGTAGAGTGCATGGGGCACTGGATTGCCATGACTGGTCCAGAGCACCTGGGCCCACTTGCACAAAACGATCTTAGCGCTAAGATTATCTTAACTCCCATACTTTAACATAGGCTTACAATAGTCTTAGCGCTAAGATCCCTTTGTGCAAGTGGGCCCAGGATCTTCAGCCCTGGTATGACAAGTAATAACTTCTGTCTTGTTCTGTTGTGTCAGGTTTGGTCGGGTATGCTACAACTGTGATCCCGCGGGCTTATACTTATTACATTTCCTCCTTGCTGTTTGCTGTGTTTGGTATCAAGATGTTGAAAGAAGGTGAGTACAATCTCATTCAAATCAGATCTTAGTTCTCGCTACCGCTAAGCAAAGATCTGAGGACATCCCATTAGGGGTCACGTCAGAACAACCTTTCATCCGACCAATCAAAGCGTCGCTTACCAGATCATGAAAGTGACAGTCGGATTGTGATTTCTTATCATGCAACATCGATAACTTTAAAAGGGGGTATTCTGAATGATAGTTACGGGCTTATTGTATAATTCTATACAATCTAGACCATATATTAGCCATTCGAAAATGTTCTTTTGTTCAGGTTTCAAAATTTTAAGCGAGAATTTGTCAAAATATGTTTCGACTTCTTGTCAGTAATTCCATTGGTCGGTCAGAGTTCGCGTAAGGTCGGTCTGACGTGACCCGTAATGGGATGTCCTCAGATCTTTGTTTATCGGCAGATCTAAGATCTGATTTTAATGAGATTGAGGTGAGTAAAAACTAAGAAAAACACTTAAGAAATAACTTATCTTAGACTGGTTATGTCTCTCCCTGCTTTCACTTTTCAATTTTCAATTTGCACTTTTCACAAATGGCTTTCATTACAATGTCAAGGCCAAGCCTGACCATGTAGAATAGGCCCTCATTGAGTATGAATTACTGTAAGAGTTATCTTGATGCTCGTGGTCATGAGTTTCACCAAAGTGGTAAATTTCTTTACCTGCATCCCTTTAGGCTTTCCGCCCATGTCAAGCTGACATGCTGTGATGTAACTGAAATAGTGTTCAAATGAGCATTAAACTCAACTCACTCATTCACTCCTGTATTGTAGGGTGGAGCATGTCACCTGATGAAGGACAGGATGAGTATGAGGAAGTGCAGGCTGATCTCAAGAAGCGGGAGGATGAGGTACGTACTGATGGATTCACGGCTTCAGGTTGGCTAGAGTAAGACTGAATATTTCCGCGATCCAGTTTTTCACATCTCCAGTCTGTTGTGATTTATACCCTGGACCCGGTGATCACATAGCTTCATTTTGGAAGTGATCTCTTTAACACAAACTTCTCTCAGTTGTGTGGGGTGGTCGGGTAGCCTAGTGGTTAGAGCGTTCGCTTGTCATGCCGAAGACCCGGGTTCGATTCCCGACATGGGTACAATGTGTGAAGCCCATTTCTGGTGTCCCCCGCCGTGATATTGCTGGAATATTGCTAAAAGCGGCGTGAAACCATACTCACTCACTCACTCTCAGTTGTGAGCTCGAAATCTACAACCAATCGAAATGCCTCTTCTGAACATGAGGTTAGCGTAGATCTGCGTTCAAAATCACGGCTTTGTCCGTGTGAGCCCTCAGTATATGAAATCAAAACTGGAAAAACTGTTCCATATTATGACAGGGGAAGGAATAATTCTGGACAACCTTCCAGTTGTATTTGAGACAGCACAAAAAAAAGACAAGTGGAGTACTGGTGATATTGCTGCTCTTTAAATCACAAATTTGATTGGATGTCTAATTTATGGATCAGGTCATACCAACGGGCCTCAAAACAAAGGTAATGGGCACAGTGTTTTGATATAATGGGGGCGGTCGGGTAGCCTAGTGGTTAAAGCGTTCGCTCATCATGCCAAAGATCCAGGTTCGAATCCCGACATGGGTACAATGTGTGAAGCCAATTTCTGGTGTTCCACGCCATGATATTGCTGGAATATTGCTAAAAGTGGCGTAAAACCAAACTGACTCACTCACTCACTTTAATATAATGATAACCTGGAGATGTGATACATTGCCACCTGTGTTCTGTATTGGAGAACTCACCGAAATCTGTTGATCATGTTGATTCTACTTCTGGAATCAATGGACTTAAGTGATGTTATAGTTGATGTGTAATGTCTCAATTATTTTGAAAAATGGGGGCAGTCGGGTAGCCAAGTGGTTCAAGCGTTCGCTCGTCACGCCGAAGACCCGGGTTCGATTCCCGCCAAGGGTACAATATGTTAAGCCCATTTCTGGTGTCCCTCGCCGTAATATTGCTGGAATATTGCTAAAAGCGGCGTAAAACTATACTCACTCACTCACTATTTTGAATAATGACCACTTGCATGTATAGTTGTGTCAGTTTTACTTGCTTAAAATGCTTGTTCAGAATGGCAAGTGAATTCCTCTCTCAGAACTGCAAGAACTTGTCATCACAATGGTTTAAAATCTGTGCCTGACCATTACTCTGATGTGCACATATCGGTATGTTATATTAGTATCACTGTTGGCGCCAAGTAACATTGAGGTTTTTAGCAAAATTGTTATCCATAATTGATCGATTCCTAATTTAGTGTACTTTCAATCCCATGGCTTTTACCTCCAGCACTTTTTTTTCTTAACATCAATTGTAATAGCTTGTTAAAAAATAACTTACTAACACGACAAAGTTGCCTGAAAAATCTATTGTGAAATGTCCAAAAAGGATGGAAAATGTGTGTAATGATAATTCATCAATGATCACATTGATGTAGAATGAATTTTTATTTGACGACATACATGTTGTACTTTCAACAAGACTGTTCAGTATGACATGTCCCAGGTCATTCAGTGCTTGTCGTAAGAGGGATCGGGTTGTCAGGCTCACTGGCTTCGTTGATGTTGAAATCTATCCTAATTGTGTAGATCGATGCTCATGATGTCAATCACTGGATTGTCTGGTCCAGACTCGATTATTTATTAACCACGGTCATATAGCTGGAATATTCCTGAGTGCGGCATTAAACATGTTTAACAACAAACAAACAGTGCTGATTGTTTTTTCAGCATCATATAGCACACCAGTTAACAATTCAACACATGCACAGTATAATTGTACACCATTTCTTTGTACAGCTCCAGAAACAGAACATGCCAACCACCGACATCGAGACTGGTATTATCCGCACTCCCGGCCGCCGCTTCCTGTCGGGACTTATCTCCACTGTGTTGCTGCAGAGTTTTACCCTGACATTTCTAGCTGAATGGGGAGACCGGTCTCAGATTGCAACAATAGTTTTAGCAGCCAGGGAGGTAAGTGCAGCAACCGTCAGCTTATGTTCAACAACCCGTGAAGATCCGGGGTAGAATAGGTCTTCAGCAACCCATGCTTGCCGTAAAAGGCGACGATGCTTGTCGTAAGAGGCGACTAACGGGTTCGGGTGGTCAGGCTCGCTGACTTGGTTGAAGCATGTCATCGATCCCAATTGCCTGGATCTATGCTCATATCAATCGCTGGATTGTCCAGTCCAGATTCGATTATTTATAGACGGCTGTACTCACACTGCGTGACATGTTGCTCATGATCTCTGGCCCTCACTCAATTATTTATAGGCCTCCATGATAAAGCTGGAATATTGCTGACTACAGCATGAAACGACTGCGACAAAAATTAACTTTAAAAAATTCGGTGAAATACTGAAAGTCTTCACCTTTCGACTCACGTGACATTTGTTTTTACATGTTGAATGTTACTCATTTCTGATGTAAACAATGGTTTCTAAAGGACCTGGAGACCAGTGAAGATCCAGGGTAGAATATGTCTTCAGCAACCCATGCTTGCCGTAAAGACGACTATGTGTGTTGTAAGAGGCGACTAACGGTATCAGGTGGTCAGGGTCGCTGATTTGGTTGATGCATGTTATGGTATCCCAATTGGGTGGATCGATGCTCATGATGCCAATCACTTGACATCTGGTCCAGACTCGATTATTTACAGACCGCCGTCATATAGCTGGAATATTGTTGAGTGCAGCGTTAAACAACATACAAACAAAACAAAAACTAATGAAACTGGATAATTGATTTCTTTTTACACTGATTTGTAGAACATGTACAACGTGTGTTTCAGGAAATCTGGGGTGTATTGCTGGGAGGGTTCCTGGGTCATGCTCTCTGCACGGGTCTTGCTGTGATAGGAGGACGGATGATTGCTCAGAGGATATCTATCAGAACAGGTGCGTGCCTCCAGGCATACTGATTTATTTTATTGCCCATGCAATGTGGAAACAGATTGAAAGACAAATGTAGTTTGTTCTCACCTGAAATCAAAGTTCTTTGTATTTTTTTACATTTTCAAAGCCTCTTGAAACCTTAGGGCCTATGAAGCTGAATCTCTGGATGAACAAACCCAGCAAAACTGTATGTTAACATAATGACAGAATTCTTATCTTATTTAAAAGATGGCAGCCAGGACAGCCATATTGAAATTATCATTTTGGCCACTTGCTGAAACATAACTTTATGTATCATTTTTCTATTTTATATGCAGTAATTGTTTGCTGCTCACAGTTGCTAATTATGTGAGGTTTTTTGTATAATTCGATCCTATATTTATCCTTGTTGACTTTTCACATTCACATGCTCACTATATCCGTTCTTATTTGTTTTTACCTTTGATAAACTTCTGTAACCTGTGTTTCCGACTTTGGGTTTTTTCCCAATCTTTTAGATGACATGCTGTGATATTTCACTCACTCACTCTCTCCACTCTCTCCACTCTCTCCACTCTCTCTCTCTCTCTCTCTCTCTCTCTCTCACTCACTCACTCACTCACTCACTCACTCACTCACTCACTCATATCAATATGTTAAAGAATTTTTCACACCGGTTTCTGTCTCCATTTCAGTTACCCTGATTGGCGGCGTAGTGTTCATCTTGTTTGCATTCTCAGCGCTGTTTTTCGGTCCCGATGACTGAGGCCTCCCATCGAAGACATCACGACTCTGCCCAGTAATTTATTATCACTTAGCATCTTGTTATGTCACAACTGGCCCAGCTGCCATGATAAAAGTGCTCAGTAGAACACATGTAGGTGTTATGGTTGCTCGCAGAACAAACAGGGGAATTATACAATTTAATTTCCACCAGGGAATTGAATCACAAATCATGTTTACCAATATATATTCCTACTCTGTCATATGAACAGCACCTAGTTCCACAAAGCAATCTTAGTGCTAAGACGAATGTAACTCTCATTCTGTAATATAGTCATCTTATCGTGAAGATCGCTTTGTAGAATGGGCCCTAGGTAAGGAAATGTCAATTCAAAAAATAATCAGCAAGAAACAGAAGCATTGAGCAAATAGGAACTGGCCTCAAGTTTCGAAGAAGAAACAAATTATTTAGGTTTGAATATTTACAGGGTTACTCGTAATTATGACATGGTTGTTGAGTAGTGTTTAGACGTCCCTGTTATTGTCATCATTGTATCTTTGTTGCTGGAGCTAATTGCTGGTAGTGATGGCAACTGACACGGCTCTATTGGATTATTTATGGAGTATTTACATCAGTCAAGATTTCAGATTGGTTCAATGTCCAGACCATTGACTGATAGACAAGATGTGCTGTCGATATTTTTTAAATTTGGTAGGGATATAGAAGGATGTCCTATCAAAAGTTCATCAAAACGACCTTATGCCATTTGTCTTGTGTATGTGTTGCACGATTTATGATATGGAGTTATATATTATATTATGTATGAAGAATATGATTAAGAGCCAAAGATTTCCATGATGTTAAATATGAACAGGTGTTGATATTATTCTTGGATATTTGTTTTATTCAGCATTATCGTATCATCATGGTGATTAAGTAAGGGGGAAAATCAGACACAATATAACCAGTTATGAAGTAGGGGCAGATTTTGACACTCTTCCAGAGACACAAGGGTTTGTTAAGTGATTCTCCCTGTGACATGACCCCGTAATGTTATTTATCATCCCAAACTGCCTCCCACAGGAGATATCACTTGGATGAGATCAAGCGATATCTACATTGTAGATATAGCTGAAATTAAATTGCATCACAATGCTTTGCACACCATTATGACATCATTGGTTACCATGACATTACAATCAAATGACATCACTAATGGCTCTGCTACTGAAGCTGTTAGCAGTACTTTTTACACTTAAGACCATGTGAAGACACTGCCTATTACTGTCTTCAAACTGAAAAAGTTGGAAGAATGATGTTGGATGATAAATAAAATCTCATCCTCGTCTCTTTTGATATCAAATATGTCAACACTCGTTGATATAAATGGAAAAAATCCTCGGCAAGCATCGGAGTTTTTCCACTTTTATCAACTCGTGTTGATATATTTGATATCAAAAGACACTCGGGTGAGATTCTCTATATCTCCAGTGTTGGTATTTATTCAGAAACATATCTCCACATGAAGCAAGCTGCTGTTCTGTCTGTGTTGGTCATAGCACAGTCATGTTGTTATCCCCAAGGATGTCTGCTGGTCTGAACTCAACATAGGTTGGAACTATTTTACATCTTTCTTGTCTCTTTATTTACCAACAATATACGTTTTGCCAATAGGGTTATAACTTGTCACGTTAACTTTTATACATGAAGTATCCTCAGGAGGACTAAGCTTGAGGGCTTAAAAAAATAAAGAATTGGTTCTCAGGCAATGACTTTTAAAAATATATGCGCCAGGAGGTGTTGGCTTTTTGTGTGAAACATGCGGGATAGACTTTATGATGATGCGTCCGCAGCTTGAGAACCAATGATATGTCCTGATGATGTAAGGATGATGTCTTTTTAGATTACCATGGTTACAGTGTAGGTATGACTTCTGTCTCAGTTGGTGACATGGACCTATGTGTATCCAAACTTCATTATCTAATAGGGTTCATATAACCTAATGGTGCATTCAATTTCTTATTTGTTAATGGTGGCGTTAAAATGACTTGTACAAAACAGTCATTAAACTTTCATTAAAAAATGATACTTTAGGCTTAAAAAAAATAAAAGAATTGGTTCTCAGGCAATGGTTTTTGAAAATATTGTGCGGGTGGGCAGTGTCTTTTTTTGTTTGGTTGGTTGTTCAAACTAGTATGTAACCAATAAACAGTTATGTAATCAATAACCAATTGTGTACAATCAACCTGGGAAAGGGCCTCCCTACATAAATGTATTCCTTGATAAGTAAAATACTGGAATACAGTATTTGACTAAGGTTGGACTTCGAATATTTAAGGATTTTTTTGTTTGTATTTTAAAAATGGAAAGAAAAACGAAACGTGCTGCGAACTTTATGATGATGCGGGTGGTACCTGAGAACCAAGACTTCTTTTTTTTTTAGCCTTAAGTATAAAACTTTGATTAACGATTTTTTTAAACTGGGGTGTTTCCCTATAATTTCCACACGAATGTTAAGCGAACAAGCACCTGCTCTTTCCTGTCATCTGCCAAGCAAGCACATTAAGCAAGTCAATATTGCCATGTGCATCACTTCTGACATTCATTTCGTCATGTACTATACATGTAGAGGTTTCAAGTTTTTAATCAGATCCATGCATATTGCGTAATATTATCAGGCATGTTTGATTTAATGACAGGTTCATGATACCCCCCAGAGTTGCGTTCCTTGGGCACGCCAGAAACCTATGATTGTGGGTTCTTCCCGATTATGTTTCTAGGTTTGTCAGCACCATACCCGTGCTCATGGGTTTCACCGAAGTGGTAAACGTCTGAAACCTGCATCACTTCGGGCTTTCCTCCCACATTAAGCTGACATGCCGTGATATGACTGGAATACTGTTAAAAGCGGCGCTAAACCCAACTCACTCACTCACTCATGGTACCCCAAACCTCTATTATGTTAATATACAGAGGGCGTCACTGACAGTTTGATTCAATCAAATTTAATGGAACATTATTTAATTGAGGTTCAATGACACGAAAATGAACAATTATAGTTTGATTCAAACTGACGTTATACATGAAATTACACTCTTGAAGTTAACAATGAATATTTTGTTAGCTTTTGAAAGTATGTTATTCACAACTGCATTGCTTTGTAACAGGGAAGATAACTTTTGTCCAATTGGTACCAGTACTGTCAACATTTGGACACAGGTAATAGACCATCAGACATGCTTGACAAACAACATGTTTCTATTTTAACACTGATCTGTACACCAGGGATTGTATGTGTATATGACAATATGGTTGAGTGATCCATTCCTTACAGAAATATATTATAGCATTTGTCTGTTGCTAAGCAACAGAAATTGAAATCATACTCTACAAATTTTCTATCTGCTATGTTTAGCGTTTTACCGTATTCAACATAATAAGCGCCTAGGGTGCTCTCAGTCGGAGAAACATGGGGCTCTTATCAGAATATTTTTTTGGTGAAAAACAACAGAGTTGAAAGATCGTAAATTTCGTGGTTTATGCTGACAGCCTGAAATGTTCATATACGACAGATATATTTTTCCAGAATTTAATTTCCCATAATTAAGGATGCATATAACACACATACTATACAAGAATATATAAGTCTTGTGTACATTGATCAATCGGAAGGGGTGCTAATTGGGATTGTTCACTAGCCAATATATTAACAAATATAGCCATGGGCGCTTATTAGAGCGGGGCGCTTATTACGTCAAATACGGTAATTCATTTTCAAACTGTGGAAACTATGGTATTGCCAGACCTGATTTACATCAACTTCAGTTCGGCATAAAGATTTAATCATCTTGATATATACATGTATTGGTCATTCCAGTCTAGGTAATAATTCAAGACCAGGGCACTGTTCCATAAAGTGATCAGTGATGTATGATGGGTGTATAGTACTTTAACATAGACCCACCACAGTCAATGATCACTCTGTTGGATGGGGCCTGATTACGACTTGTCTTATGAATTCACTGTGTACATGTAGAGTATGGACTTCAGAATCCACTGAGTCTGAAGGATAACAGTCTGAAAATAATAAAAGACATTTTGTATATGTTGTACTTTATATAACTTGCTGACTCAGTATCAGTATCGGGGATATTCAGTCGGTTCCGGTATATATTTAATCATGGCATATTCCTGTTCATTGTTCCAACCATGCATATTATTTTCACCAAGGAATCATCAGTAGCAGCCTTGCACAACATTATTTTACTGTATTTGATATGTTCGTGCTGAGAATAATTCCAAACCTCAGTTCAGTTGAGTTCCGTGCTGTACAAACATTTTTTATTTACTGAAAAATTGACGTCAATATTTGTTGTTTTTATGGAATTAAAATGGTGTGCATACTGTGTAAATCCACATAAATGCAAAATTGTATTAAAGTCAATTCTTTTAAGTAGATATGTCAACAATAATAACTTCACAGTATGTGATCTCTAATACGCCAAAACTGTAGACAACAGTAAGAAATCGGTGACATCATTCAGCCCAATAATGCAACACAAGCCCCGCCCATTCTATTTTCAGCCAATCAAGAAACAGTAGTCCCTTCGTGGGCCGGGCCTTAATATTTATGGTTTATGGAAACAAAAACGAAACATTTGTTCGATTAGCCAATTGTATGCCAAGAAATCACTTGCAATTTATTTTTAAAAACACAACCTCAAAAGTTGTCTTCACTATTTCCATAAATTCACTATTTCCATAAACTGACACTGTCAGTGTAATCTAACTGAAGTACTGACAGAGTGTTGTTCAACCCGACTCACTCACTCATTCTTGTCAAAGCTCACTGATTGCTATTACAGTGTATATGTAACAGTCAGAGAGATAGACACAAAGTTCTAAATAAATTTCACATGCTCCTTCAAACCACAACTTTCAATGTGTCCTTATTGTAGCATTGTGGGTTTTTCCTCATGATCATGTGTATAAAGTAGGTCATTAACTTAGCCGTATGTTCAATATTTCTATTCAATGTCAAATGTGTCGGGGGTGGGGGGTGGGGGGGAATAAGAACGTTTTATGTGTGGTGCGTCAGTGTTAATAAGGAGAAGGGTGGTCTTAATGAATATCAATTTCAAAATCTATTTGGGGTTATTATACAGTTATTTTCTGAAGTTATCGGTTGTTGCGGTCATTTGACGTTTTCTAAAATCCTAACAGAAATACATTTAGCTGCAAGAACCGACTTTTTATGTTCTGGTGGGGGAGGAGGGATTGGGGTTTTATTTTAAAAAATATATTGTCCCAGACAGTTCTTGAGGAATTAAAAATTATAAATTATGCTCTTCAGGTCTTTTAAAAAATAAGGAAATAGCCTGCCACAAAAATGATGTTGTTACAAGGTTTTGTCTTTAAAAAATTCAGGCTAATAGTTTTAAATAAAAATATTTCTAGTTTTGTAGCTGAAGCTGCAAAAATATCTGATCTTGATACAAATTCCCAGAATATCCAAAGGTTATGGTTATTTGAAACAGTGTGACAACTATGGGTGTTATAAGGGCTCAGTTCATGCAGTGTGCTACCTGAGTGGCCCATATGATACCATTATATGAGATGATGAGTTGTTAGGGAAGTAGATGCACAGGAACTAGCATATCACTGAGAGAATGCACACCAGGCATATTCCAAAACTAAGAATAGATTTAGTTTGTATATTTTATGTTACTCTGTATATGAGAATATACAGAGTGGTTTTCTGTTTATGGATGTTGATATTTATATATAGGTTTGAAGCTCAGAAGGAAGTTGTATATATTGCATTTGTAAATAAACATTGTCATAAATGTGGTATTATTTGAATGCTCATGTCTTTAGTGTAACCTTACAAACTCATTCAAATCAGATTTTTTACTCTAATGAGATACCTCTCTGTGTGGAGATCTTGACACCACCTCCGTAAATCACGTCAGGTGAAATATGTAGTCAGCCAATCAACATCAATGTTTCTAAAGTTTTGAAGCATCCACACCAGCATATCTGATTTCTGAAACTTAAAACAACCAGGTCTGAATTTATAAACATAATATTGTTGTGGATTGTTACACCTCCTGTCATTTCTGAGCACCATGGCACCCAAACGGACATTATTTGTGTTGTGTTTGTTTGACATTTCCAAATCGTGTTTGTAAAGCAATGAAGCTGAATTGTTTGATTAACCTGACATCTGATTGGCTCAAGAACCCACACATCCTACGTTTAGAATGGGGTGTCAAAGTTGGCTCTGATCTGCACATACAGAGGTGTTGTATGGGAGTGAAAGGTCTGACTGTAATGAGATTGCCTGTTTCTCATGTCTTGGTTTGGTCCACTTTATTTTGTCCCCTCCTGGTTACATTTTTTCAAGGATTAGACTGTTTCCGGTTCTGCGGTTCAGCTCTCTTGTGGGGCTGCAAGCATACAACTGAAGTTGTTGCCTTAAAGCTGAAAGAATTATCCAGATCGAAATATCTTGCAAAGAAAATATTTTCAAGCACTAGTTATTGAAAGTTCATCTAAGAGAAGATAACTCATGTTATTTCATTTTGGTCAACTAACCCAGAAAATCATTAAAACTATGATCCTGCCAAAATTTTGAAACGATATCACTGTCTCAAATTCCTAAGTAAACATGTTTCTTCTACCCTATGCACGATTGTTTGTTAGGAGTCATTAAGAAAATATTTCTGCTGCATCGAATAAACAGATTATTTTGCATTTGTGACGTTTGTTCAAGAACTTATCAAGCCTTATAGGTTTGTTGGGCATGGGAAGCCCAGTGTCTAAGCCACCACAATGCACTGTGCAGAGTTGTGTCCCTTAGGTGCACCAGACACCTATGATGACCATGGACTTGAATCCCTTATTTGCCCTGAGTATGTTTCTTGGTTTGTCAGAACAATACCTCTGCTTGTGGGATTCACCCAGGCGGTAAACATCGAAAGACCTGCCCTGACATTCTAGGGAAAGTCTAATGTCAGCTGTGCTTGTGTCTGCCATACATCTGTCTGGGTCTGGATGACACAGAACATGGTGTTTGGAAGATCTCCAGTAATGTGTTCTTTATTATTCCAAACAAGAAAACAAAAAATCTGTAG